TCCAAAAAAATGCTTTTCTTACTTAGTATTTTTGTCTTGTTTCACGTCCAAATATCAAACATTTCTTAAATTTACTAAAGTATTGATATGAATGAATATCCATCATATGAATCCGATTGATAAATTAGTGACATTTAAACTTTGATTTCTGAGGTCGTTTCCGTCCTTCTCTCTGCAGGTCTGGTGTGTCTCAGGCTCCTCCTCCCATGATGCTCTTGGGCGAGTGGGCGTCGGCCAGGAAGCAGCAGGGGGTGTTGGGTCAGGTCAAAGGTCACGTGGTGCGTGTGCTGTCTCTGCGGCTGCAGTGGACGTGTTCTTTCTGCGGGAGCATCTTCAAACAGGTAGTGATGTCATCGCTCGTGTCACACTGTTTGGCTGATTACCCAGAATTCCTTCCTGTCCTGTCTGTTGTTTCAGAAGTATTTTACCATGTAGGGATTTTAAAATGTATTTGAAGAGTTTAAAAGCATGATCCAAATCAACCAGTTTTGAGGATTTGATTCGAAGCACAACAAGTATTGGAAAATCAGACAGACTGGACTGTAAACTTAAAGGAGTAGCTCACTTTTAAAAAAAACTTTTGCTGATAAGTTACTCACCCCCATGTCATCCAAGATGTCCATGTCTTTCTTTCTTCAGTGGAAAAGAAATTAAGGTTTTTGATGAAAACATTCCAGGATTTTCTCCATATAATGGACTTCAATGGGGACCAAACGGTTCAAGGTCCTTCAGTGCAAACTGTTCAAAGGGCTTTAAACGACACCAGACGATGAATAAGGGTCTTATCAAGTGAAACGATCGCTCATTTAATAAATAAATAACAAAGTTTAAGTTTTAGAAGCTCAAATGCTCGCCTTGCTCTGTTCTGTGATGCGCGTTTGTGACTCTCCTGTTCGAACTCGTTCATCAAAATGAACGGATCTTTACCCGAGTCAATTCGTTTGTTTCATTCATTGAATGAATCAAATGACTCGGAAAAAGATTTGTTCATTTTGGCTTTGTATTCATCAGTCGATATTAAAATTTCCACTACAAGTGAGAGAGCTATAATCCCATAAAGCATTGCGAATGATATGATTATATTCAAGGATATTGTTAAATATGCATATACTGTAAATATGTTAATAAAACACACCGATATTTCAGTATACTTGAGGTATTTAGGAGTGGGCGGAGTCTTTTGGGGCGTTTCACATGTGCTCTGATTGGTGGAGAAGCAGAATTATGTAATGTAGTTTTTCACCAGAATTTATGCAGTTCAACACGATTATTGTAGAATAAGTTTAATAATGCTGACAGATGGCTTCAACAAAAGCATAAACCTTCGATTAACAACATCATCATTCAAAATCAAATTCCCAGATGAGTTTCATGAGTGTGATTTTGAATTGTGATGCTTTTGTCCCCACAGACGTCCTGTGGCCGAACTCACCCACCATGTGACTCGACCAGCGCAGTGTTTCAGGCTGAGGCGAAGTGAGTGTGTGTGTGTGTGTGTGTGTGTGAGAGTGTTTGAGTGTGTAAGCTTGGAAGAGCCAGGACATTTTTGAATATAACTCTGATTGTGTTATGATGGAAACATGTTGTGAAGTTTCAGTCATTGATTGTGTGTGTGTGTGTGTGTGTGTGTGTGTGTGTGTGTAGGGTGGCGGTGGAGGACGGTTCTGGTGAGGCTCACGTCTGGTTCTCGTCTGAAACGGTGTGTGATCTGCTGATGTTGAGTGTGGGTCAGTGGGAGGGGCTTCAGAGGCACATCAGGGTCAAAGGTCACGTTAAGGTGTACACACGCGGATACAACATGGTGAGCGTTTCAACTCTACACACACACTTATATGAGCTCCTTCATGTGATCCTGTGATCTCTCACTGCGTGTGTGTGTGTGTGTAGACATGTGACGAGGACCCTGACGAGTCTTTGGTTCAGTATTTGAACTGTTTGTGCTCCAGCGCCGCTGTGTGTCGACAGATTCACCTCACCTGCCGAATACGAGCTCAGAGAACAGGTAAACACACTCGCACTAAATCAGTGTGTGATATTTAGCGGCATCTAGTGGTGAGGTTGTGAATCGCACCCCATCAGAAGTTATGGTGGCCGACAGGAAGTGATGTCATCGTCTGAGACAGCAGAGAGTAGCCAGTTAAGCAATGATGTTTCTTTACAAAGATTAAATATGAAATTAGGTTTACTTAATTATTCAGTACGTAACACAAATTCCCAAACTAAACGAATACATCACGCAAACGCATATTAAATAAATAAAGCAGCAATCCAAAATAACAAGACAAAAGCGTCACCGAAGAGAGTCTGAGAACATCAATCTATTCATTATAAACAATAACAGGAAAAAACTCAATTATAAAAGAATTTTTCTAATAATTTTTTTGTATAAAAGTGTAACCAGAGGGATGTGATATAAAAGTATTTGTGTTTCTGCACAACAATAATTATAGTGCACTTCCCCGCTGTTCCTCAAGGTGGCGCTGTCTTACATACAGTGATGATGGTATAAAATGAAAGAACACGGATATAAAGACCCACATGTGTAATAATGATTGCTGAAACGTTCATGCATTTAAGTGTTGAAGTCACACTGATTTACTGTAACACACCGGACCAGGAGTGTGTGTAAATAAACACATAAACACAATAGACACATGCGGCGCACACACTGATTTCACCCAATCACAGCCTTCACACTGAGCCACATCCAAAACTCTACACAACCATTCTGGAGAAGAACACTCACAAACATGCTGAATAAAGTGTGTGTGTGTGTGTGTGTGTGTGTTTCAGTGAAACCTCAGCTGAGGAAAGTTCATCGAGGACAAACAGAATTCATCTGCAAATTCACACCTGCACTGCAGTTACAATGCCAACACGTACACACACGCTAAACACACACCTTAACACATACACACATGCTAAACACGCTCACACACACACACATACACATATACACTCTCACCTTAACACATACACACACGTTAAACACACACATAACCACACACTCCTTTACACACACACACACACATCAAACACACACTGATAAGCACAACCAATGTAACTGGACTCAAATGTTTTATGTGTTTTAATGTTCTTCTGTCGTTCTTAAGTGTTCATTGAAATATTGTTTGTTCTAAAATAACAATTATGTTTTTACACTAAATATTGTAACATAAAACTCTTGTTCAGAAACAGAAATAAATTATATTTTATTCTTTATGTTTGATTGAGTTATAGATTTGAATGTCTTAAATAGTGGTTCAGTTTGAAGTCTGTCACCACTAACCAATCACAGGGTAGCAAAGCATGTGGGGCTCTTTCAGATGAGGCTCAGGGGGCGGAGTTCGTTACAGATGAGCCTCAGGGGGCGGAGTTATTTACAGATGAGGCTCAGGGGGTGGAGCTCTTACGGATGAGACTCAAGGGGTGGAGCTCTTACGGATGAGACTCAGGGGGTGGAGCTCTTATAGATGAGGCTCAGGGGGTGGAGCTCTTTACAGATGAGGCTCAGGGGGCGGAGTTCTTTACAGATGTGGCTCAGGGGCGGAGCTCTTACAGATGAGGCTCAGGGGGTGGAGCTCTTACGGATGAGACTCAGGGGGCGGAGCTCTTACAGATGAGGCTCAGGGGGCGGAGCTCTTAGAGATGAGGCTCAGGGGGCGGAGCTCCTACAGATGAGCCTCAGGGGGCGGAGCTCTTACAGATGAGGCTCAGGGGCGGAGCTCCTACAGATGAACCTCAGGGGCGGAGCCTCTACAGATGAGCCTCAGGGGGCGGAGCTCCTACAGATGAGCCTCAGGGGGCGGAGCTCCTACAGATGAGCCTCAGGGGGCGGAGCCTGCAGTCGGTCATCGATCACACGGGCAGCAGCAGGACAGAAGGTGAGTCACACATGATCAGCAGAAGATCATTTCACTCTTAAAGCGATAATTCTTTCCGTGTTATCTCTGTGAAGCTGCTGAAACAGTCTGAGTTGTATAAATAAATGTGACTTACCTTGATTGATGATGATTGATCATGTCATAACGCTTGAGTTTGTGTGTGTTCAGCTTTTGGTGAAGTGTTGGTTTGTGTTTAGGAGATGTGTTTGTGTTTAAATGTGTTATATATTGTGAGACGATAATTAATATTGTTCATTTTAACGTCTTTTATCAAACACACACTCCTTTCTAGCAGATGTGCCTGTGTGTCTGTGTGTGTGTCCTTAGTTCTGTGTGTGTGTTTGCTATAGAAATCAATATGTGCAGCAGGAGAGTAAATAAAGCTTCAAACGGAGACGGAGAATCTTCTGCTGGTGTGTTTGTTTAGTGTTGCTGGTTTGTAACTGGTAATTGCACTGATTTGCGGTCAGAGATTGTGAAGTGTGTGTGTGTGTGGCGTTGTGTTCGTACTGGTCTCGTTGTGTTCGTTCGGCTCATTAACTCCACGCTCGTTTCTCTGGATAAACTAATGCAGAGATTCACAAACATTTTTATTTGTCGAACCCCGGTGAGCTAAAATATTCACATTCACATTCACATGACATACAGTTCATCTGTAATATGTGTGTTATTTTTTTTGTTGTATTTTGATTTATTTTATTGATCATTTATTTTAATTTGACATTAGTATTTAAATAATATTCACATTTTGACATTTTTATTTAATTATTGAATTATTTTATTTAAAATTGTATTAAATAACATTTAATCAATGTTAATAAACATTTCATTTTTATTTGCTTTATTTTAAAATAGTTTATTTGTTTTGACATGATTTAATTAATTGTGTGTATTTGAGTGTGTGTGTGTGTGTGTGTGTGTGTGAGTGTGTGTGTGTGTGTGTGTGTGTGTGTGTGTGAGGTCATTTCCTTTGTCTGTTGCTCCTCTCTGGTGTTGTGGGCGTGTCGCTGGTTTATCAGTCGCTGGACAGGATAGATAGAGAGAGAGAGAGAGGAGGGTGAGTGAGACTTGGTGTGATGATGTCATCACTGCTCGGGCTGATGGGAAATGAGCTCAAGCGGGCCGGCGTTGCGTCAGATCAGTGGAGTTCATTGATCCCGTAAAAAAACACGCTGGGAGCTTCCAACATTACACAAATAATCCACAGAACTTTCTAGATTTGTGAAACAGAATAAATATTATTATTATTTTAATAGTGAGAATAAACTGTAAAGTGGACTACTGGTGTGGACTACATTTCAGTGTGTATAACTAGCAGTGTATATATATATATATATATATATATATATATATATATATATATATATATATATTGGTAATATGTGGAATATTCCCATTGAATATAAAGGTGTGTGTGTGTGTGTGTGTTGCAGGATGATGGACTCTGTCACAGGATTGATTACTGAGGTAAGATTCATTCATTCACACTTTTGTTCATGTTTCGTTCACCCGCGTGTGTTTCTGACACATTCTGATGTTTTATACCCGTTATTTTCGGTCTTTATAAATCACAGTCAGGGTTTATTTTGTCTTCACTCACAATCATCGTTTAAAAAAGTTTAGTGTCATTGAAATACTGTTACAGTTTTTTTTTTTATTTAGAATTATATCAAAAATTTTAGTTTTGTTGTATTTTTTTGTATTTTCTATTGTTGTTGTTTTTTTTTTGTAGTTTTTTAAATTTTATTATATCTATATATACATGATGAGCCAAAACATGGTGTTTGAACATAAATGTGTATATATTATTGTTTACCATCTGATTTACCCAGGCCTTAATATTTGGGCTTATGAGGTGATCAACCATATTGCCTTCACATGTGACTCTAATGTTTGGGCTCATAAGTGTAGTTTTTGTTAATATTTTTTAGTTTTATTAGTTAGTTTTTAGTCTTTTTTTGTTTCATTTGGCTGAAGTCTCGTGTGTGCGCAGGCCTCAGGGGGCGGAGCTCAAGCGGATGAGGGCGTGGAGGAAGGGGGCGGAGTCAGAAGGCAGGTCCCTCACGTTGAAATGAAGCTGGTCCCGCTGGAGGAGGGGTCAGAGGTCATGCTGAACAGTGACATCACTGCCATGATGAACCGCAGGAAAGCAGCCGTCTACCTCACACTGATCGGCCTGCTGATATTCTGCACAGGTCTTCATACACACACACACACACACACACACACTCACTACCTTAACACAACTGTACTCTACCTCTACTGTACAGGAGTAAATATTCCTTCTGCTTGAGCCTTATTCATTTCACTTTTGGTGTGAAAGGGCCTTAAGATTTACCAAAATATAACTTTTTTTTTGTTATTAAAAAAAAAAAAACAAGCAAGCCCAGCCCCTTTTTCATAAAAAGTAACTTAGAATTGCAATTAGTTACTTTTTGGGAGTAATACAATATTGTAACCCATTACTTTTCCCATTACATAAGTAACTAAGTCAGTTACGCAGTAACGCAATATTGTGAACACACTCACTGACTCACTCACTGACTCACTCACTCACTCACTGACTCACTCACTCACTGACTCACTCACTCACTGACTCACTCACTCACTGACTCACTCACTCACTGACTCACTCACTCACTCACTGACTCACTCACTCACTCACTGACTCACTCACTCACTCACTCACTGACTCACTCACTCACTCACTGACTCACTCACTCACTCACTGACTCACTCACTCACTCACTCACTCACTCACTCACTGACTCACTCACTGACTCACTCACTCACTGACTCACTCACTCACTCACTGACTCACTCACTGATTCACTCACTCACTCACTTACTCACTCACTGACTCACTCACTCACTCACTGACTCACTCACTCACTCACTTACTCACTCACTGACTCACTCACTCACTCACTGACTCACTCACTGACTCACTCACTCACTGACTCACTGACTCACTGACTCACTCACTCACTTACTGACTCACTCACTCACACACACACACACACACTCACTCACTCAGAGTTGGGTCCCCCCCGTAGCGTTCCTGCTGGGATACGTGGCGTTCCGTGGGATGTGCCATCTGTGTGTGGACGAGGGGGATCTGATTCCTCTGAACGACGCGGCGGGAGTGGACCACTCGCCTGAGGGAGGGGTGCTCTACATGTCCGAACTCAGAGCCATGCTGAAGAAATACCTGAGGGAGGAGCGCATCGAGAGCACACTCAGGTCAACTGCACCAAACAACTATCACAAATAAAGACTTACTAAAATTAAACAATACAAATGGGAAATTCAATTATTTTAAAATAAAACCCAAAAATAAACTCTGACTAAAAATGGAAATTTTAAATAAATTAATATAAAAAGAAGTACATCCTAAAAATAGAAAGTTAACGTAAATGATTTTAAGATAATACTATAAAAAGAAATAAACACTTACTAACATAAATAATAAAAATAGAAAATTAAATACATTTAAAATAAAAACTAAAAATGTTAACTAAAAATGTAAGATAAATGTCAAAACTAGTGAAGCAGGTAGAACTCACCTATGACCTCTGACCTGTGTTGTGTTGGTGTGTTTCATGGGCGTGACCTCTGACCTGTGTTGTGTTGGTGTGTTTCATGGGCGTGACCTCTGACCTGTGTTGTGTTGGTGTTTCTCAGGAGCGTGACCTCTGACCTGTGTTGTGCTGGTGTGTTTCAGGCGCGTGAGCCGGGCGTCTCATCCTCCGGGATCTTCAGAAGGGAACGCTTTGGCCCGGGAAATCCTCCAGAACCTGCAGAACCTCGGCATGGACCACACCTGGACCGACTCGCACTACGCCACGCTGCAGTTTCCCTCCAGGTCACACTCCATCTGGCCATTCATGGTCAACCTAACTACATTACCCACAATGCTCTACAGAAAATTCCACCAATCAGAGAGTATCTGCGAGCGAATGGGCTCTTTAGCTCCAAGTCACGTCACATTTATTTACACAGCGCTTTTACAACACAGTGTTTCAGAGATAACAGGAAAATAATGCAACAATAGCGATACTCAACTGCCATTGGCTCATCTGCGTTCGAGGGGAGGGGCTTACTCTCTATATGCGTACATAAAGCTATTACGGTCATGTGATTCTCCTCGTCGCTGGTTGGTTTGGTTCATGGCTTAAAATGAGTGGATGGGCGGGCTCTAACGCATCATACGTCTGCTCTGCTCCTATAGGACGCAGCGGAACACTCTCTGGTTTGTCGATTCTGAGGGGGCGGAGCTTGAAGAGATTCTGTTAGACAGCGAGGGATACTGCGCCTACAGCGCCACGGGAACAGCCACGGTAACCATGACAACCACCGCCATGGTGCTCACGTTTAGTCTAGAACTACAGTAAACATCATGTACACACACACACACACACACACACACACACAACGCCTCAGCACTTGTGAGTTGTGATGTGTCTCCACATGGGGACAGGAGAGCTGTCAGTCAATAAATGAAAAAAAACAAAGTAACTTATTTGAAAAAGTAATTTAGATATTTTGTTGTAAATTTTAAAAGTAATGTGTTACTTTACTAGTTACTTGAAAAGTAATCTGATTACGTAACTCAAGTTACTTTATGAGTTACACACAACACTGTCGAGACCTAAACTGAAAAGGGGTCTATAATACTGAAAATAACAAGCGCTGAAGTGTTGTGTGTGTGTGTGTGTGCTGCAGGGAGGCGTGGTGTACGTAAACTACGGGCGGCGGCAGGACTTCGAGGATCTGCGAGCGCTGGGCGTTTCCCTCAACGGCTCCATCGCTGTGGCGCGTGTGGGCGGAGCCGTGAGCTTCGCTGAGAAGGTGTGGCTTGCGCAGGAGGCGGGGCATGTGGGCGTCCTAATTTACCCCGACCCCGCCGACGTACCCCAGGATCCACGCCGACTCGGTCTCCATAGCAACGTCGTCATCTCCGAACACGTACGGAACAGTTATTGAAAAACCTTAAAGATCAATCAAAATAACTTGTCTCTATAATTTTTTAAGAGTTCAAATGATAAATTTGACAATTTCAGTAACTTCATGCTAATATTTTTTTTTTACCAAATGTGTATATATAATTGAACCGTAAATTTTACATTTGATAAAAGTGTTTAAAAGTAATCACATTTCTCATCATGTGTTTGTGTGCAGCTTCTTATTTTAATTATACTATTAAATTTATACTATTTTAACAGTTACAAAAATATTTTACAGATTTAAACTTTTTTTGAATACTTTTCCCCTAATCTATAAGAGCTTAAATTTGCAAGATTTCATTCTTACTAAAAAACTGTAACTGTATGTACTCCTCATTAATAATGCACTTTTTCACATGAATATTTAAAAATTACATTTCACTTCATGTGTGCAGTTTTTGTATATCTTTTTAATTCTGCTTTTGCTTATGTCTCACTCAACATTTTACAGAAGCATTTAGATCCTCCAAAAACATGAATATATTATAGCGTTTATGAATGAATCATGAAGCTCTATAATGAGCCGTGCGCTCTGTTTCCTGTCAGGTGCACCTGGGCTCCGGCGACCCCTTCACACCTGGATTCCCCTCGTTTAACCACACACAGTTCCCAGCCACCCAATCCTCAGGCCTGCCAATCATTCCTGCTCAGCCAATCAGTGCCAACGTCGCTTCCAAACTGCTGAGGTGTGCCCCGCCCCTTTTCTCCCTCATGAAATGAATGTTGTCAATGTGAAATATGACCAGGCTATTGAGCTGTATTTACCTGTGTGTGTGTGTGTGTGTGTGTGTGTGTGTGTGTCAGTCAGCTGTCCGGAGCCGACTGCCCGCGGGGTTGGCAGGGCCGGTTGCCGTACGTTCAGTGTGTTCTGGGTCCGGGCTTCACGGGGCCCGGCGAGCGCAGGGTAAAGATGGCCGTCTACAACACCATGAAGCCGGTTCTGCTCAACAACATCTTTGCCTCCATAGAAGGAAAAATCGAACCCGGTACGTCATGCTGAGCGTGTGTGTGTGTGTGTGTGTGAGCACTGCTCGTGTGTTAAACTGCTCGCCTGTGTGTGTCTTACGCTTGAGGATCAAATACTTAATATTTCGATTCCTCGTATCGATTCCTTTCAACATGAGTGTGAAAATCACTGGAGTGTGAGACTGGGAGTGTGTGTTGCTCTTAAAGTGACAGCGCTCATATTCCTGCCGTCTCTATAATCACACTAATCACAACACAAGACACGTTGAAATGTGATCGATCCCTCTCTGCCAGATCATTACATCATCATCGGGGCCCAGCGGGACTCTTGGGGCCCCGGAGCCGTGAAGTCTGGAGTGGGAACGGCCCTCCTGATGGAGCTGGCCAGAACATTCAGCAACATGGTGGAGAACGGTAAACACACTTCCTCATGCGTCAGTTATAGGGCTTGTGTCATGAGGAATCAACTCTATCTTGACCCTTAATTGTCATTTTCATTATTGAACCTACATCTAGATGATCAGGTGTGTCACTAAAGTGTCAGAAATTTGACGTTCACATCTGTGTACCCCCCCCCCCCCCCCATACACACATGGTCCACTGACCTTCAGGCTTTCAGCCCAGACGCAGTCTGCTGTTTGTCAGCTGGGATGGGGGAGACTTTGGGAATGTTGGCGCCACTGAATGGCTGGAGGTCAGAACTGCACAAACGTCATCAAACACGTGGATGGATGAGTGGATGATGGATGGATGAGTGGATGATGGATGAGTGGATAGACAGATGCCAGAGGCTCATGTTGACTGTGTTGAAGCTTGTAAACGTGTGTTTGTTTTCAGGGTTACCTGACGATGCTGCACCTGAAAGCTGTGGCGTATTTCAGTCTGGATCAGGCCATCCTGGGTAAAACACACACACACTAACACGACCCCGAAACCTACCCATCACACACACACACACACACATTAACCCCTAGAAAATTTCTCAGTTACGTATATAACCTTTGATCCCTGAGTAGGGAACGAGACACTGCGAATATCGGTATAATCAGGAGGGGGAAAGCCTCCAAACCCCTGCTGGGCGTTGACACGACCTTATGAACGTATCCGGGCCTGGGACGCATCAAGACTTCAACAAGAAATCCGCTTCCTGAAGGAATGAAATCTGCAGCACACTAGTGTGAACATACGTGACGTATTCTTAGGGTGGTGCTAAGCGCTATTAGCCAATCAGAGGAGTTCCCGTGGCGATATCTGCAGTGTTGAGAGACCTATGAAAGGGAACCTTATGCATGTTTACATTTATAATAAAGCCATTTGAAAGACGAGGACACGTTATAATACCAGTGTAATACCCATGTCATCATACAAATGTCTGTCACACACACACACACACTCGTTCCACAGCAGAATAACCCAAGCTCTGTGTGTGTAGGTGATGATAACCTCTCGGTCTACACCAGTCCTCTGCTCGCCAATCTCATCGAAGGAGCCATTAAACAAGTGTGTGTCTTACACTCTCCTCCCTCAGTGTGTGTAAACCTGAACAACAGGAAGTACAGTGTGTGTTTGTGTTGCAGGTTGAGCATCCGAAACACACGGGCCAGTCGATCCTGTCTCTGGTGCAGCGCCAGGGCAGCTGGAGGAACATGTGAGGAACCTGTGTGTGTGTGTGTGATAGAGTGAGTGTGTAAGTGAAAGAATGTGTTAATGACTGTGTGTGTGTGTGTGATAGAGTGAAGCCGTTGTATCTGAACAGCGGCGCCTACAGTTTCACCGCGTTCGGGGGAGTTCCTGCCATGCAGCTGCACTTCAACGAGGTACAATTCATGCTTTTCCACTTAGTGTGTATTAAAGTTGGTCAGAATTGGTAATTCTGCTTTAAATTATCGTCCAGAGTCATGTGACATCGGTTACTTTTCCTGTTCACCTGTTTGTTGAGCATCAAATCATCGAATGTGTCCCTGGATTGCACGGGTTTATCTGTGGCCATAGCCAACAATACATTATATGGGTCATTTATGCCAAAAATCATTCAAGTATAGATCATATTCCATGAAGATGTTTTGTAAATTTACTGTAAGTGTAAAGATATCAAATTTAGATTTGTGAGTGAATGCAGCACAATCAAGGACTTCATTTGAACAACTTTGAAGGCGATTTTCTCAATGTTTTCGATTTTTTTCTGCACCGTCAGATTCCTGATTTTCAAATATTGTCCTATCCAAACAAACCAATCATCACTGGAAAGCTTTCAGATGATATAGAAATCTCAATTTCAAAAAGATTGCCCTTAGACTGGTTTTGTGGTCCAGGGTTATTATATTAGAGTGATTTGTGAAGGATCATGTGACACTGAAAACTGATAAATTCAGCTTTGATCACAGGAATAAATTACACTTTACTGTATATTCACATAGAAAACAGATATATTACACTGTTTTTACTGTATTTTTAATAATATAAATGCAGAAGAGACTTAAAGGAGTAGTTCACTTTTGAAAAAAATTTTGCTGATAATTTACTCACCCCCGTGTCATCCAAGATGTCCATGTCTTTCTTTCTTCAGTCGAAAAGAAATTAAGGTTTTTGATGAAAACAGTCCAGGATTTTTCTCCATATAATGGACTTCAATGGGGACCAAACGGTTCAAGGTCCAAATAACAGTTTCAGATGCAGCTTCAAATGTCTTTAAACGACACCAGACGATGAATAAGGGTCTTATCATGCGAAACGATCGGTTATTTCAAAACTTATTCTAAAAATGTAACTTTTCTAAGGACAAATGCTAGCCTTGCTCTATTCTGTAAGGCGCGTTTGTAACGTCACGTAATACGTAATTACGTTCAAAAGGTCACGGGCGACGTAGCCGGAAGTACAGAGTCAGTGTTTACAAGTTGAACGCATAGGTTGAACGTGCAAACTAACTCAAACGCCGTTTACAAAAAAGGAATTAAAAGGTATAACAGCGATGTCGGACGATTTTGATTCTGTACTTCCGGCTACGTCGCCCGTGACCTTTTGAACATAGTTACGTATTACGTGACGTTACAAACGCGCCTCAGAGAATGGAGCAAGGCTAGCATTTGTCCTTTGAGTTTTGAAATAACCGATCGTTTCGCTTGAAAAGACCCTTATTCATCGTCTGGTGTCGTTTAAAGACATCTGAAACTGTTATTGACTGTCTTTTGGACCTTGAACCGTTTGGTCCCCATTGAAGTCCATTATATGGAGAAAAATCCTGGAATGTTTTCATCAAAAACCTTAATTTCTTTTCGACTGAAGAAAGAAAGATGGACATCTTGGATGACACGGGGGTGAGTAAATTATCAGCAAAAGTTTTTTCAAAAGTGAACTACTCCTTTGAAGATCACGCTGATATCGCTGCTAGCATTGATCCTCATAGCATGCTGGTGTCCTGAACATGAGTGGTGTGTGTGTGTGTGTTCAGGACGCACGCTCGTACCCGTTCGTGAACACTCATCTGGACAGCGTGGGGCGTCTGCAGGAGCTTCTGCAGGGTCGTCTGGACTCAGTGGGTCGAGCCGTCGCTGAGCTCGTGGGTCTGATGGCGCTGAAACTTTCCCACGATCACATTCTCCCGCTGGACGTCACGTGTTACAGCAGCTCCGCTCAGCAGCTCAGCGCTACGCTAAACCAGCACACCGCGCAGCTACAGGTATTTTTTTAAAATATTACACACATTTTTACTGTGAGCACACATCACACACTCATGCTGAAGTGAGCGCACACTAAAGCGTCAGTATGTCAGCTGATCCGTGTGTGTATCGCCAGTCTCGAGGGTTGTCTGCGCAGTGGGTGTTCAGCGCTCGAGGCGACTTCAGCAGAGCGGCCAAAAACCTGCAGGAGGCCATCAGGAACAGCGACGTCCAGGACGAGAGGCTGGCCCGCCTCTACAACACGCGCATCATGAGGGTGAACACACACAACATGCACCAGATACACTAGTTTACTCCCGACACACAGAAAATACGTTTTTTTTGTGTGTGTCATTACATTGTTTAAAGCATACAATTTTTTTTTCTTAAAAAATAATATTTTATTTTATGTTCTTTTTTTTAATGTATTGCTATGTCCTCTGTAGAGGACAGCAGTACTCAATTTTGAAATAAAATAAAATAAAATAAAACACATAAAGAGGCAAAAACAATAGTATTTATTTTTTTAAATAGCCATTAAAAATTTAGGTTTCAGGATTTTATAAACCAAACTATGTTGTGAAATATAAAACAAAACGATTCGATTTACCTTTTGATTTATACAATAAAGGTTTTCCCATGTATCTATACATTGAATCTGATTTGCATACTAATATGTTCTGAGGGTAACGTAATGAAAAAAGATATTCATGATAATATCTAATATTTCATAAGAATATTGAAATATAATTTCTTCCCCTGTTCTCTTGTTGTGTCTCCGGATAAACATGATGTAAGTCCTGGTATCTCTACAGTGGACATGTGTGAAATCAATGTTTTTTTCGTAACAGAAAGTCATATTTTGATTTGAAACCTTGAGATGTTTATTAATGACAACCAATTTACAAATGTGTCCAATTTAAATGATAATTACAAAATATTATCATATTTTTATAAGAATGTTACGACATGCTTTATGAATGATGATGTCTCAAACATGGACTTGAACACTGTTTACTGCACACAGGTGGAATACTACTTCCTGTCGCAGTACGTGTCTGTGGTGGAGACGCCGTTCCGTCACGTGTTCCACGGGCGCGGCGATCACACTCTGAGCGCACTAGCGGATCATCTCTCGCTCCTGCGCTCGGACCCGCAGATGTTCGACGAGGCCCGTTTCCGCCGCCAGCTAGCGCTCTTCACCTGGACGCTACAGGGCGCTGCTAACGCGCTTAGTGGAGACGTCTGGAACATAGACAACCCTCTCTAGAGCTCCGCGTGAGCGTTAGCGCTAGCGTTAGCATTAGCGTTTATTTATCCAGCTGACCCAGAACAGTCAGTCTAATTTCAGGGATATTCTACAACGCTTAACATAAAGGTGACACATTATGCCCTTGCTTCATTAAGTATGCGTGGTTCTATGAATATGCAAATTAGCCCCGCCTCCATTCACTCACTCAGCTCAGAGATCCTGATTGATCTGAAGCGTCTTAAAAACACGTTGGATTTACTCCACAGGGGGACTTTAAGTTTATGATCATTTTAAGAAATGAATATGAATTAGCTTACTCAAATATTTTAAGTTGAGAGCAATTAAAATGAGTACAAGATAAAAATCTTGAAAGATCTTAACTTGATGTAACTGATTACCTCACACTTATTTGGGTTTACAGTAATACAAGTTGAAAGACAAATAATTGTACATTATGCGTTTTCTCCCCCTTAGAAACAGGCTGAATGTAGCAGGACACAAGAACAACTATATAAACAGACAAGAGCCCAGAATATTAACGCAAAGCACTAAATTGCACGTTTAGCCTCATTACGGTGATATTAAGACCAAATTTGATAGCTTATTAAAAAAACATACAAAGTACAAGCAAAGCTCAAAGTTCAACGTTTAGCGTTGTAGAATATCCCGAATTGTATTGCATTGCTTCTGGTTCAGAGAGTATTTTCATATCTGCTCAACTGTGATTTACTAATGTTATTTTTCGTCTCTTCCGGTGATCAGTTATCTAAGCGGCCACTGGATATCTCCTCGTAATTTACTTTGTTAATTAACAGTTATGATTGAGAAGAGATTATTTTTTATTACCGAGTGATAATGAGACTCTTATGAATGTGAGCTGTAATTATCGGGAGCAGAGACTCTCATAATTATGACAGTCATACTGTCGTCCAATCAAGAAGCAGCATCTGCTTTTAATCAACTTTATGATGTCACATGACCCCGCACTCAGACTGTGACATCATTGTAGTCACGCCATGCCGTCATTACTGTACTTGTGATGTTCCAACTTGTAAAAAGCATTCACGTCCTCATAGTACTCGTAATTGTAACTTGTAAACTTCAACTTGAATCACATGACCGCTGTAACGCATTGATAGTGTTATAGGATCGGATCATTTGTGGATGCTCCGAGTAAATTATCATGTGTTGTCATCTCGAAATTATGGTAATTACGACATGGAGCGACGCAACATTTTACCTGTAGATCAGGTGCTTCTCATGTTAAACTTTTCAGTCTGGATTGATGTGTTGAGAAACTGTCTGTCACCTATTGGAGTCTGAAGGGATTTACAACATATGCTGTATAGTGCATTTCAATAAAAAAAAATACCAGTTCACAAATACCAGTTTATTTTTAAATTTTTTTTCTCATTCAACATCTTCAAAGGTTTCCAAAACAAATGGACCAAACTTCAACTTTAAGAAAAGTTATAGTTTAATTATAATTCTTAAAGTATTCTCAATATATTTTATAATGAACACAAAACCACAAACCAGAGATCAAGCTAATGAAACGAGGCGCATGCGCAAACAACTTTGAGCAACGCGGGAGTGAGAGAAGAGAGACGCAAGAGTTTCTAAGGTAAAATGGGTAAGACCAAGACACTGTTTAATTCATGACAAATTAAATTAATGACTTTTATTTAGTCAAAACATCCCTAATTCAATTTTGAAATAGTGAGGTTTTGAATGAAGGATTATGAAAATGTGGTTTTAACTCATTTAAACGTTTAATGTAACTGTTAAAACACAAGTTAATGGTGTGGTGAACTTAAATATTTTTCTCTGTAGCTCAAATACCAGTTGTATTGATTTTTAAAACATATCTACAACATCATCAGAGGAATAATAAACTGCTTATTATGGATGTATAATAATAGCAGCCATTTGCTGGTTTGACCTAAACGAACGGACCAAACTGCAACTATGAAGACGTTTAGCTGTAAATTACTAAAGTAATATCAGTGTATTTTAGTCAAAATAAACACAAAAAGTCTGATGAAACGTTTTATTTAAATTTAAAAAGAAACCGTTTGAAATGGTGCACAAGGCGCATGCGCAACCAGTGCCTTGAGTACACGAGAAGTTTCTGAGGTAAGAAATGATTGCTTCGCGTTTAATTATACTAGAACTTTTGGTTTAGAATTAATGAAGTTATGGATAAAGAACATTATTATGAAATAAATATCGTTAAAATATCACCGTACCGTGTTTAATTTCTGACAGGAATGAAAACCAGGGTGAGGGAAAAGTTCAGTTTGTTCAACGCGGTAATTGTTGAGCTAAACTTTCATTAGATGTCTATAAAACAGCTTAAAAGTTGAAAATTAAATGTGATATTAGACCATTGTAGCCTACTGTGTGTGAATGTCCACAGCCTCGTTTTCATCCGCTTAAAATGAATATGACATAGCTATAAGATCTCACTCTGACTAACGTTATATGCGAAAAATAGATTACATAATAAATAAATAAAAAAAACACAATGACAAATTGAATATGAAATAATAATTTCAGTTTATTCATTGTAATCTGTAATATCTTTTAAAACATCTTGTAAGATTGTAGTTTATTTACACTTGACATTTTAGTTATTTCCATGTGGTTATTTTTTTTTTCATCATATTTATGAGGTGAGTATGAATTATTTCTTACAGTCTGTATTTACATGCGAGTTAAATATGAAATTGCAATAATTTTCTTCTTTGACTCCAGGATCAGCGATCATGATCTTCTTCAAGGTGGCCGTGTCGTCCATGATGTCTTCCAGTGAGAGCTTCGCCCATCATGATGTCATATCCTGTGGGAGAGACGAGAAGGATTCGATTTTGAGGTCGCAGTGCTATGATAGTGTTATTGTAATATTGTTACAGTGATATTTCAGTTATTTTCAGCTGAATCAGCACAGGTGTTCAGATGAAAACGAGCCAGAATATTCCTGTATGAAATTATTACACGAGTGACTGACGTCTGTGGATGAAATCTTCCCAGTCGCGGGTTCTTCATCTCCGTTGGTCTCGTGTTCATTCTCTTCATCACCACCGTCACTTTCATCACTATCTCCTTCCTCACTGCCATATTCCTCCTCCTCTTCCTCATTATCTCCTCTCTTTTGTTCTTCATGCTCGCTCTCTCCATCTCCCTCTTCCTCATCATCTTCCTTCGCTTTATTTTCCTCATTTTCTGTGCCTCCCTCCTCTTCCTCGTTTTCTTTCACTCCTTCTTCCCCCTCTCCATTTCCCCCTTCATCTTCTCCTTCCTCTTTATTTCCTTCTTCCTCTTCCTCATCTCCATTTTCTTCTTCATCTCCTTCCTCTTCTTCATCTCCTTCCTCTTCCTCATCTTCTTCTTCCTCATCTTCTTCTCCTCCTTCCTCTTCCTCATTTCCTCCATCCTCTTCATCCTCTGCTTTCTTCTCTTCGTCGCTGTTTCCCTCGGAGTCGCTCTGAAAACCATCAGAAACGTGTGATGATTAAATTCAAATCTACACTTAAAAAAAATCTAAAGTTATGATTTATGTATTTTAATTGCATGTAGAATTTTCATTTATTTAGATTACACAGTTTTAACATAAACAAACAAATGAAACTTTTTCATATTTGTCAGTTATACATCAATGAAAGGTCAGATTTCTGCACTCAAAAAAATTGCATAGTTTTATTAATTAATTAATTAGTTTTTGTATTGTGAAAAGTGCTATACAAATAGATGTGAATTGATTGCATTTTCAAAATGCTTTTATCCAAATTTCTTCAAATCAGCATAACCTGTTCAATTCAATTTCAGTGTAAAAAGTATAAACATGGTTAAAATATGACTGGCTTTGGAGCAATCAATATTCAGTTTGTTACTAATGTATGAGATTGAAACATATTGGATTTATTGATGATGAATATATAAAGCTGGTTATTGTTTATTTAAAACACATTCAGGTTATTAATTACTATTACAGAAATCTGACCTTTATCATTTATATATGACTCAGAAATATACAGCACTTTAAGTTAATATTTTGTAGAAACTGGAAAAACAAATTTATATGCATTTCAAATATATATGTTTTTAATTTAGGCCTAAAATTTTTCTTAGTGAAATGTTGGCAGGTTTGCATGATGGTGAGTGTTCGTATCACTAACTTACTGTGAAAACTAGTGAGTCTGTTAGATTTTGTCACTTATAGTCAAAGTAGTGTGTGTGTGTGTTTTGTACCCCGTCGTCTTCCGAACTCTCTGAGCGTGTTACTCTCCGTCGCTGCATCTGATTAGTTGTATCATGAGAAAAATTGTTTATTTAGCAACATATTCTGATTTTCCCCTCAAATATTAATAATATAACAGTAAAGACAAAAGTATGGGGCAAATCTCACACAAAAATATGTGATTTTTTTTATATTTTTCAACATATTATAAAATATGTCTCACCACTTTTATTGACATTGACACAATTATCTTTACTGTGAAAAAAAATAAATATCCATGTAAATAATCCTGTCCAGGGACAATGATTTTAAGTGTAAAATACAACAAAATTTACCATAATTCTTTTTTCACAATACAGTAATGAAAAATTAAAAAAAAGCAAATGTGCTTAATTGTAATGAAAGTAATGCTTAGTTTTTATTTTATTTTTTCAGTTGAAATATAACTGGAGCATTTCTTGACAGTTTTTGTGAGATTCACCCGTTGTTTTGTGAAGTATTTCTGATATTAAACGTCAAACAGCGAATCATTTCCTGTAAGAAACTAAAACGGGCGAAAACACTTACAGGCAGCGCGTGTCCGAAGACCAGAAGACACAAAACCAGAAAAGCGGTCTTCATCCTTAAAGTCGCTGTGCGAACAACGAAAGCAATCAATGATGCGTCAGTTGCAGTAAAACACAATAAATCAGGAGATTCAGTCTTACCTGTGATCGAGCTCGTGAAGTGAAGCTAAAAGTGAGCTGATGTTTCTCTACGGATCTCCCCAAACACACAGCATTTAAACAAGCGTCCCGACATGCTGAACCAATCAGGAGAGCGCGGGGGCCGTCGGGCGAGACGCTGCGTGATTTAATGAAAATAACGGAGCCGCTATAAACATCTATTTGTGTAGCAGTGAGCGTCACCGCTGGCTTTGAAATGGGAGACGTGTGTGTGTGTGTCTTTGTTCCTAGTTAAACATGTTTTGGGGAAATATTTGTACCCAGAAGTAAGCTAAACCCGACGAACGTAAAAGCAACATAGACACAGTATAGTTTAAAAAAATATGTAAAAATTAGGGCTGAAAAAAATGTTAGGGTTAGGAATGTTTATATTAGAAGAGATGGAAGGAATGCAAATAGTTGTATAATATCAATAATACCAATACCACCACCATCACCAACAACAATAAATAACAATAATGTGCAGCTTTATATATATATAAAAAATGAAAAGAAGGATTGCCTTTAGAACATGACTTATACGTACATAAAAGACCTCAATCCACAAATATTTGTAGAATGATGTATTCAATAATACTCAGAACTTTATATATTGTAGAAATAATTTGTATTTATGGATATCTTATTATTTAATCCATTTAAAATACTAAAGATCTTAATTGAGGCATAAACTCCCTAGCTAGTTTGAATCAACATTTAAGGATGAGAGCAGTGGACTGAGCATTTTATTACATTTGTACAGTTGGGGTTTAATTGCTGATGTTTGTTTCTCTTTAATAATATGGTCCCTTAATAGATGTAGCCGTTGTGTAGTTGATATTTGGTGTTTATTGTTCCATGTGAGCAGTATTGTTGTTTTGACCATAGCTAGTTTTTTTTTTTTTTTGAAAATTTTATTTTGCTTTTTTCGAATACAATAACTGACATAAGACACAACATAAAGAAGACAGCAGCAACAACTACAGAACGACAACAACAACAAAAGAAAGAGAAAAAAAAAATAATAATAATAAAAAATATATATATATAATAATAAACGAAAAAGGGAGATACAATGTTAGACAGTTAGGAAATTATCTTTATCAAATCAAGTCATGTGGTACTATATCCATAGCTAGTTTTGAATGTTCAAAGCTAAGGTTAATTTGGAGGGTTAATTTGAGGCTTAATAAGGTAAAAAAAGAGGGTTAATTTGAGTTGATTTGATTCAATGTCAGTTCTCAAAAGCCACAAATCACTCTTTTTAAAATATGTATTTCATATATATATTTAAAGCATCGTTTTTGTGCGGTGACAGCGCCACCGTCACAGCCCTAATTGCTAGTCTTCTCCACTAGATCATCATGTCCTGTATATGTGTGTGTGTGTGTGTGTGTGTGTCCAGCCACAGATGGATTAGTTGGACACTCGTACACCTTTTCTTGTATAAATTTAGCTTGTTTCAGGACACAGATATGAATTTTAATTATAAAGATGTTTAATATAGACATTTTAATTTCCCCAGTGAAACAATCGCAGTGTTTTTGAGTCAGACTTTATTGGGCAGATTTATTTGAAAGTGAGCTCTTCAGGAAGTGTGGGCGCTTCTGATCTCACGAAGTGGAGATATTTCGGCAACACTTTACAATAAGGTTCACTTATTAAACGTTAGTTAATGTACTAACTAACATTAACTAACCTTACATTTGTTAATCTTTGTTAACGTTACTTAATACAAATCCATCTGGTCATTGTTTGTTCATGTTAGTTCACAGTGCATTAACTATTGTTAACAAGATTTAAAAAAAAAAAAAACACATGCTGAAGAAGTATTGTTCATTCTTATTTAATGTTAACTAATAAACCTTAATGTATAGTGTCACCGGTATTTCTTCATCACGCTCACATTTCCAGACGTGGTGAACACGCGCCTCGTGAACTCTGTACTGATGATGCTGACGTAATCTGGCGGGAGAACGCGCCAAAACATGCCACAGGAAACCGTAAAAATGTGCCGTGACCTTCATTTGCATCTGAAACACTTATTTGTATAACGAACAGTCGAGTTTTGTACAGACACGTGTTTTTATTCAGGAAAGAAGACAAAAGAAAAAAAGATATGAAACTGAAGCCTGTGTTTTATCACCCTTAATGTTATTTTCAGGAATCTCAACCTTATATTATCTTCACTTTAGGTAGAAAACAATGGAATATATAAATATATGAGACAAAAACCACTACAGAACTGCACTGATTTTCAGAAATATATTTACGTACAGATGAGTATAATGGTAGTTATATAGCCCAAATGAATGGGTAGTTGATAAATAATCATAAATAGATAGGAAGTACAGTATTCAGACAAATGTCTAAAATTTCTTTCAAAACAAGTGGCATCTGTCCTCAAGTGATGTTTGAGCAAAACTGACACTTTTCTGAGTCACTGAATGATATTATCCTTATTTTTAGTGGATCTGTGAAGTCAGTTTTCCTCAAGGTCACACATTGCTTCAGGTTTTCCAACCAGAAATTTTCCGAGACGTTATTTCTGTTGTTTCATATTCCAAACATTTTGTTGAGTGTGTTTGTGCTGCATTTCTTTATTATAAATGCCACTTGTTTTGGTATTTGTGTATATATAAAATTAAAAAACATTACATTTTGTCATAGTGCATATATTTGTAGGTCCTTTAAAGAGGCCATGACAGGGATTGAAACAAAACAAAAAGACAATGTTCCTTGTTTTTATTGGTGCGTTCATACCAGACGCGAATAGCGCATCAGGCGTGAGTGATTTCAATGTTAAGTCAATGCAAAGACGCGTTAAGCGCATAAAAAATTCCTGCATCGCGAATGGGGCGGAGAGCGCGGCATGGTAAATGCGAATACGCCTCGCGCGAATTGAGCGCCTGGCGCGTTACGCGCGAATGATTTATTTAGTGCTATTTGTGCATTCACGCGTTTGATGCGAATTCGCGTCTGCCGCCCGAGTTGAAAAGTCTACTAAAGTCCAAAACCCGGCCATTTTTGGAGCTTGATTAAACAAATGCAGGATATTTTTAATGGTACAAAGTCCTCTTATATGTCAAAAGATCGAGGTAAATTTGATTTGTCATGTCATGACTCCTTTAATTTGTCAAAAAACAAAAAGCACAATATCTTAATCACATTTTAACCTTTCCCAGTTGATTTAAACGCTTCTGCTGATGCTCTTTAGAGGGACAAATATTCCATGACGTCTTTCAATCAATATAAGTTCATTACATTTATCTATTTACATTTATTAGCAGATTACATTATATATAAAAGAGGAACATCACAACCAATTTCCTAAAGAGACAAATACATAGTTAGCGTTCGGCACGTACTATGGGACGCAGTGATGGAAAGAGAATCATGGGATGGGTGGAAATATTATATTTAAATATATGATGATTTAAAATTATTTAAAATATATCATTATTTTTGCTATAATTTTAAGTTTGCAGCACATATCAAGCCCACAAAAGAAGAAAGTCACCATTAATGACGGTATCGCTTTGATTTTCATTGTAAAGTTAAAGGGTACTCTACAGCATTTTTGCATAACAATAATGCAATACTTGTATTTATTGCATTATTGTTATATATAACAATTATACAATAATTATATTTTTCACTTTACAGTATTTAAGATTAAATGTGCTTAATTGTGACTGATTAAATGTTTTCTTTATGCAAAATATGATTTCAGAACGGGTGAAAAACATGATAAATATTATTTTTGCACTTTCTCAGATTTTCACCTGTGCACTTTTCAGATTTGTTGGAAATAATCCATAATGATGCAGAAACTTGGATTGTAAGTAATCTCAGTGCATGATATAATATATCATATATTATCATAATGATTAAACTTGCAATTATTTTTGATGCATTTTGCAAAAAAGTCCACAAAAGTAAATGTAAGTGTTGAGGACAAAATAATATGTTCTAAATTTATATATATAAACAATAAGTAAATGCTTGAATCCGTCACCACATGAACTGATCTCTGAAAAGTGAAGGTTATATAGACTTTAAATGGAGATGATGTTACGGCAAAGGGCTTGACTGAATCTTCATAAACCGTGACTCGACTCTCACTCTCTCACTTGGTGCAGATGAAGTTGTTTTTCTCAGTTTCAGGAAGGCTGATCCAGCGCTGGTTGCGGGTCTGAATGGCTCCGGATCTCACTGTCGTAGTGCAGTCCTCCTCCCCGGTGCCGTGACCCGGAGCCCAGTTATTATAGCACAGGGTCTGACCGTTGACCCAGAACCAGAGGCCGAGCACGCAGGAGTGACGGAGACCCAGCCACACGTGAGCGGTAGAGGCCGTCGAGGACACGTTCTCCAACCCAAGCTGGATCTTCAGCGAGTCCACCGACACCAGGTCCATGTCTTTATCTCTGCAGTATTTCAGAGCTCCTGTCCACGTCTGATTCTCTCTGATCAGAACCAGTTTATCTGGAGCACAAACATAAACAGCAACGGTCACACTTTAGTTTAGGGTCCAATTCTCAATATTAACTATTCACTACGACGTTTGCCTCAATAAACTCCTAATTTCTGCTTTTTAATAGAGATGTTCCGATACCCTTTTTTCCTTCCCGATACCGAGTACTCAGCCGATACAGAGTACTTATCCGATACCTGGACTCAGGGTATCGGTCGATACCGAGTACTGATCCGATATCTGGGTGTGTACAGTATCTATACAGTTGCAATTCATACTAGCACTGTATGAATTTATAGAATTATTTTTATGGTGTGCTTCAGACTTATCCCTTAATTAAATATGAACAAATACATACAGTGAACTAGAGTATTTTTATTATCTGACATTCATTTCACAGCATTATATTATTTATCTTTCTTGAGTGAAAAATAGCTTAAAATGCAGCAACACAACATCTAATACTGTAAACTGAAAAGGGTATTTTAGATTTACAGTATAACTGTATAAACAAAGTGCAACAAATAAATTTAGGAATCTAAAAAAATGATAAATGAATAATATAAGAAAATAATCTCTTTATAATTTAAGGCCCATAAACAATTTTGTTAAATAAACAGCATTTCAGTTTTGACAGCGGCTGCTCTAAACAGTGGTTGCTTGTGGCAACAGCACGACTTCCTGTGTCGCCACAAGCAACCACTGTTTGTTGATCTCCGATTTGCAGCGTTACGCAAAGCTAGCGTGTATAACTAGTAATTGTTTTAGAAAATGGTATCGGATCGGTTTTCTTTCTTTTTTTACTTTTTTCTGAACTTTTACTCTTCATCCATTGTTAGTTTACATTCGTTTCTGGAAGTCACTTGCTACTAGTTTCGCCTTCTTGATGACATCACGCGCGCAGTTAAAAACGGCATGCGATGACTGGTCAGGAAGCAACGTTTAGTCTGACGTGTGTCTTGTCCACGACACGACAAGATTTTAGGAGTCAAAATCGCGTAATCTGACACAGTGACTATCGTAAGAGACAAAAAAAATCGAGTCATCTGAACCAGGCATAAATCTAAAATATCTTAAACTGTGTTCCGAAGATGAACGGAGGTCTGACGTGCTTGGAGCGAGCATCACATCATTTTCATTTTTGGGTGAACTAAACCCATATAAATCGAGCGGTTTAATCCAGATTCAGATTAGGCTTTTATTTAAATCACATTTAAACACAAATGCTTTTGTGCGTCACACGCTAGAACAAACCGAATTGGTTGTTTTGCATCATGTGATGCACGTTGGAGCTTCTGTATATGCCAGATGTGATATGTATGTTTGTGTCAGTATAAAAGCCTAAATGAACTATTCGTCATGTAAAGTGATCTCTTCATACGCCACTCGATTCATATGGATTTTTTTTTCAACACCGTCATTTTGGATCTGGAAGTTTTGTTTACCTGGAGGAACAGAAACCTCCCAGGTTTCATTAAAAAATATGTCTTAATTTGTATTTCAAGTTCGTTTGGTTTGAAATGAAATGAGAGTAAGTGAATGAAATACATTTTTGGGTGAACAATCCACTATAATTAATAACCGAGTCAGGATCGGTATTTGCATTTGTTCAGATGACTGCGTGTGTGAGAGCGTCTACTCACCGTCATAACACACAAAGGGATAAAGATCTGTACATTTATCATCTACCCATCGTCCTTGGTGTGCAGTCGTCATATCAATCGCGGTGCAGACGTCCTCTCTGTTCTGGTTGATGTTGGGTTCATCAGTGTACCAGTGTTTGAATGTGGAGGTGCTGTTATCTGACCAAACCCAGAGTCTGCTCAGACCGATCCAGGCTTCATCAGGTGAAATTGGGTTGTTTTGTACGAATGTCTGAATCTTAATATTCTCAGTCTGGTTCCTCACACTGGCCAGATCTGTGTAATTGTGTCTACAGTAACTCTGAGCTTCAGTCCAATTCTTTGTCTCACTTACAGGGACGAATGTTTTACTGCTGGCTTTAAAAGAGAAAGACATTTGTCTAATGAAGTGAAATATCAGAGAAATTAAATGCATAAAACACAAGAAAATATAAGGACAAAGAAATAAAAACATAAGGACAAAAAGACAAATCCACTAAATGCAATTGTGGTTCATCATTCAAAACTAAAAGTGTTTTATTATTATTGTACATGAAAATATTCAGCATGGTCTTTTAGCACACATCTGTATGTTGTGCTCTTACAGCTGAACTCACCATTATAGCAGATGAATTTCATTTCAGCATTACATTTTTCATCATGCCATTGTCCATTAAACTTCATCATAAAAACACAGTCTCCATCTCCTTGTGGTTGTGCTGGTGAAGTGTTTGACCAGTTCCTGTACTGGGACTCGTTTGCTGTGTAGAAGGTGGGGTCATTCAGAGACCATATCCATGTTTTCTTCAGCCCGATCCAGACACGTTCAGCGTTAGGGTTCACACTCTTTATGACCCGCTCTGCGTCGCTCTGATCTTGTGTGTCGGTGATTGTGGCCAGATCTGTGTATTTCTCTCTGCAGTGTTTCTGAGCTTCAGTCCAACTCTTGCTCTCATTCACAAAGTGATACTGACGCAAAGCGCCTGCAGACAAACTGACCACGGCTGAGGAGAGACACATTCAGATCTCAAACGATGATCTCACTGATCGATGACACACATTATCTTTATCATAACGGGCTAATATTTGCCTAGCCTGACTAGGTCAGACTTCGTTCTTCCGTTAAATTTCAGTTCGCTGCTGTACTCAGTCTGAGACATCGACATGTCTGGCCAGAAAACAGCCGGCCAATCAACGGAAAGAGGGCGGGGCGATCTGGAGGGGTAGCACTTCCGAAATCTCTGTGCAAACAATGAGTGACGTACACGCCTGAGACATCACTTCCGGCGCATGCGCAGACCGAAACGCCCATCCCGTCAGATCAGTTGGACGTGGCTGTGATTACACGAGGTAAAAACGATAAAAATACTGTTCGCTTTCTCACACAAACCGCTCGTTTCGTGTCTTAGGCCATTACATTTACGAGTCATTAAATCATGTTTAATTTTGACTTCTCTGTGCTGCTCTTTCAGGTGAACCGAGGGTGGACCCCCTAAACCTGCATTATATGACTGATAGACTACACCGGTTTGACCGAAAAATATCAAAATTGAAAATGCTGTGGAAACAAAGACACCTACATCTTGGATGCCCTTGAGGTAAGATAAAACATACCAAAAATTAATTTCAAAGTGAACTATCCCTTTTAGGGATGCACCGATATGAAAAATGTGGCCGATAACCGATAATTCTTTATATTTGAAAGCCGATAACCGATATATCGGCCGATAAACTTAAATCCAAATTTTTTAGCTAATTTTGAGAGCCTGATTACAAAAACAAAAGTCTCACAATTAAATCCATGTCCCAAGCGCACAATTATAATGATGTTCTCAGTCGATATGACAGATTTACGTTGCCCAGATTTTTCCATTTTTTGAAGAGATTTCAAGAAATTCAAAAACAATCAGTTCTCAACAAGTGTCTCAGCTGAAGGGAATAATACATTATTTATCGGCTTTAATATATCGGCCACATTTTCTTACCAGGCCGATTGCGATAACATTAAAAATGAACGTACATCGGCCGATACCGATATGTTGGCCGATATATCGTGCATCCCTAATCCCTTTAACACTGCATGTTGCAAACTAAATGTGGATTCAAAGCCCAGCGGGATGTAAGCTTGGGACTTTTGGCCTACCTGACTGATCCTGATTTGGAAGAGTCTTATGCATGAGAACTGTCCCAAATGGTTGGATTATTCCTCTACTAAGGGACTGCTTCGTCTTTAGACATCGTTTGATGAACTATACCATCAGATACACGCATCAATTTTCACGTTATTGAATTGTCCAACCTACTGACCAATTCCCGTGAAGCACTTATCCGTTATTGTAGTTGCTTTTTGTTTTTATTGTATTTACTTTTTGGGTGTTGACAATTATTTTTCTTCAAATGAAATACACATGATTTGAGGAATGGTTGGTGTGTGAAGCACGACCTTTGACACTCGGCTTGAGCTCTTTCAGCACAGCACGAACACTACGAGCGCTGCATTAAACACTCACTCACCTGTGAACAGAAGAGACGTCAGTGTGATTCTCTCCATTCCTGAGGGAAAGACAGAACACAGTCTCAGTAAACAAGCTTCATTTGCTTTCTAATACAGCAGCTGGAGTTCGTACACAATCCAGAACTTCAGAGCGTGTCGTTCCTACTTGATCATCGCTTATTAGCTCTCGCATCACTTATAAACACACACACATGAAGCTCCTGTCAGTGCAGTGTTCACACACACTTATATGCTTTAAACCCTTCAGGATTAAACTCTTTCTCATAGAAATTGAGATCTGGAATTAAAGTGCTGTTATACAGTCTATTACTGTAAACACAATTTTTATTGCAATATTTACTTTTTTTGGTTCCTCAAAGAGTCTTTCACTTGTTTTCTCAGTATGTAAAACATTTAAAAATCTAAAGAACTTTTTCCCATTATTAAGAATCTTTTGTGCAATGTAAAAGATTATATGATGTTAAAGGTTCTTAATGGAACCATCAATGTCAATAAAGAAGCTTTAGTTTTGAGTAGATAATACAACCGAGCATAATTTAATACAAAACACAGCTAAATCAATCCTATTATAATCAGTGTAAAGTCAAAACTGTCTTAAACTCTGTTTCTTACCTGTCGATGTTGTGATTTCTGTGCGACTGTGTGTGTGTTTCTGGAGATGTACTGACCAGTAATGTGTGTGTTGTCTATTTAATGTAAAGAGTGAGTGAGTGAGCGAGAGAGAGAGAGAGAGAGAGGGGGAGATATCTAATATACACTGGTTAATTTTGAGATTTGGGATTTTCATAAAGTATTCTTTCAGTCTAGTGGGGAAAAGAGCTCAAGTATATTTTTATTCAAGTCACCTTTATTTATAAAACGCTTTATTAAATAAAGATTTTGTCAAAGTTTTGTGACAGTGATAACAGGGTTAATTTCAGCGTCACTGTTTTCATCATCAGCGTCGCATTTGAATTTTTCATTTACACATTAACTTTTCATGTGTATATGTTCTTTACTTTACGCAGGTAATAGTCATGAGTGTCCTATTGTCCCTCGGGGATGAAAGTTCACATGCGGTTTAGATTAAATTAGTGATGCAGAAAAAAATCTAACCAGGAAACCAGAGGCGGTTTTCAGCAAATATGCAAAATCATGTTATTGTGAGTGTCTCTTTATTACTGACAAATGATAAATGGAGTTCAATTTTACTATAAAGCAGAAATTGTGATATCTGATATCTGGAGACTTGTATAAGATGATAGAATTGAACCTAAAACGGTTTATTGAACAACACTGATGTTGATGGAACAGGGACAGTGAATGTGCAGGGAAGCGGTGAGCATGAAATGGTGGCGTTGAGTCTTAAACTGAAGAGTAATAGTGTAAACTGAAACAAACTGAGTCTTTGGGTTGAAGATTAAGGATAATATTGGAGACTGGAGAAGGAAGGGGATAATAAACAACTGCTTTATTTGCATCACTGTTGCCATGATGTCACAATAAACTTCAGTTGAAGTGAAGAGTGTATTTGTGCAGCTTGTCAAACATGCAAATATGAGACAGCAGCACATCATTTATAGTCACATTATATTACAGTGATTTACATGAAAAATCTTTCCAGTAAGATGATGTCAAAAAAAGTACAGTAAATACTGAATGCATTTATTTGCGATGCAAAATGACTTAAGATGTCTTTTTGATCAAAATGAAGTGAGTTTATGCTTAAAACAAGAATATTATAATGTTTAGATCAGTGTTTACTGTTAAATACTTTTTGTGGATATCTTCGCAAACGCAAACGTATAATGTAACGATAATGTTTTATGGTTTGGAGCGGCTCGATCGCTTAAGTAAATGTTCTCTGTACGCGCTGTGAGTTTGAAAAGCAAAACGCGCCAAACAATAGGCTTCATGTTTTTACTTAAATCTCATTTCATAATGAATGGAAACAATTGAATTTACATATGATAATCCATATATTTTTATCTAGTGTAGTGTACTGAAGTGTTTCTTTTTAACGATTTATAGGCCGCATGCTATATGCTATTATTATTTTATGCAGCCCTACATGTATACTACAAGGCACAACAAACCTGGTGTTCAAATTACTAATATATATACATATTAGTAATTTTTAGATGGCAATTTTAACCAGAAAAATCTAAAATGTACTCTCAAAATTGCCCTATAAGTTTCTCTTGATATCAGCTTGTTCAGTTGTTTCGTTTTGTTTTTTTGACAGGGACCAGATGCCACTGATGAGTCCTGCTGACTTAAACATTCACATGAGACTCTGTACATGAACATGGTAAAATGAAAAATCAAACACCATGGAAATGACAGGTATGTATTATGTGTCACAGAGGTCTTTCATGAATAATCACAGAACAGAAACAGCCGGTAGACCAGGCAATATAACATAAATCTTCTTGAATAATCACTGAACAGAAACGGCGTGTAAACCGGGGAACGGGTGGCGACTGACTCTCAGATTAGCATAGGAAGACGGGTAGCGAGAATCAGGAACTGACCGGTCTTCAGATGCAGGGTTGCTGGGCAGAGTAAAGGGTAAGTTTATTCACAGCAAACAAAGTAATACCTGTATTAGACGTATTAATCTACATCAATTGTTTGTGTGTGTGGATGGCAAGAGACAAAATGTGGATAGAAATCATGCAAAATATTTGTGTTTATTATAAAGAAAGAATAGTAAGAGATGGGAGATGATGATACGGAAAAAAAATTACAAATAAAAAAGAAAATAAATACTACTGTGGTCAGAATTATTGGCACCCCTGATAAATATGATCAAAGATGGCTTTAATCATTTTGATCTTTGTTTTGGATGATTCTTCTGATGCAAGATCTAACCACGGCCCGTTATAAGATTTCTAGCAGAGGCCGTCAGGTTTTGATTTTTTTCATCTGTTGGTATTTGCTTGAATCCATGATACCATGTGTCTGAATCTCCAGCTAAAAATAGGCCCACAACATTAAAGATCCAGCGGTACATTTAACCGTAGACATGAGCTACTTTTTATGCCCGTTTGCTACCAAAAAAACTTTTTTATTAATTTCGTCTGACCACAGAATCCAGTCCCTTTAGAAATTCAAGTTTTGTCTCACACCTGAATATGCTGGAGCTTGTTTTTTGATGAGCAAAGAGATTTTTTCTTGAAACCCTGCCACATGTGGTGATGTAGTGGCTGTTTGATCATTTAAGGCTTTCTGACCCCAAGACACACTAATCTCTGTGATCCTTGGAGAGTCTTTGGCAACTCAAACTCTGAGACCTGTTTACTAATATACATCTATGGAGAAGCAGTGTATAAAAGTCATTTTACAGTATAATAGCAGCTACTAGTGAAACCTCATGTTTGGCAAATGTGGCTTGGCAAACCATTTAATGTTGCATTTCTGCCACCTACTGGATGGAGAGTGAAGTGAAGATTATTAACCATCATAAAATCAAAAATCTAAATTGTTAAATGACTAAATGTAAATTAGTAGTCTTTAAATACACAACTTTTAATTGTAGTAAACTTAAAACAATCTTAAAACCATTATATCTAGTCACGTTTAGCATTTAGTATCTTTCCTGCTAAACTGTGTTTTTTGTTGTATTAAGCAATAACAGTAAAGGATCTGTTCAAGCTGTGCCTGAATATAACAGAGGTTCAGATGTTTACTTGCCCTACAAATCTTTCTTAATATGAGAATGCAATAAAATATTTGCCAACTGTTCATGTTAAAAAACATTAAACGACAGACATTATTTATACAGGGATGCAAAATACTGCTGACCTTTAATTTCTCAGATTTTAATGTCATTTGCGTTTTTCGTCACAATGTCGTATCTGATTGTGTGTGATGAGCATTAACATAGCAGTTTTCAGCATAGCAGACGTAAGATAAGACTGAATGCGTGTATATTGTGTTTTCCTTCAGTAATTTCACTTGTCTACATTGTGGGCTGATTTTATGGTAGGCTATATCTCAACTTTACTGATTTTAAACATTCTACACCATTTTATTTGCTTTGAACACCATGAAAAGCCAAATTATTACACACACAAGAATGAACATAAATACTTCCAGTCACTTTCACCTTGATTGTGAGCTCATTCAAGCTTTCGACCCTTCCAGCCGATCTAGTCTTTACGGGACGTCCTGATTCGTTCTCCCTCAGGGACCTGAACATCATGTGTTTATCTCTGAAATCATGCGTCTGTGCTTAAAAACCCAAAGATCTTAAAGAACACTCAGGTTTGTACGTTAGAATAAATGTTAAGCATGCGACAAAATAGATCAGATTCACACAAGATGACAGTCAGATAAACGACATCAATAACAAATGAAATTTCTTCCAAAGCTTTATTTTCTCGGAAAGAAATGAGTACGAATCACAACCCGACACCAATCCAGTACAGGAATCCAGCAAAGGAGAAAACCACTGACATTCAAAATGTATGTAAATACAGACTAGGGCTCTGGGTATCGATATACATTTCACAATTTGATTTAATCTCAATGTTGATTACAAAATATCAGGTTTGGTACATTATTAACAAAGGAAAACAAATCTCTTCTTTGCTACAAAACACTTTTAGTGAAGTTTTGTTCACGTATCAACTAAAAACAGCAGAGATCGGGGATTCATGAATCAATATTGGTTCATCAAAATGAGAATTGATTAAAATCAAGAAATTCATATTTTCAACCCAGCCCTAATGAGAGTTATTTGGGTAATTATATACCCCAAATTAACGGGTACATAGAAGGGAAGTACAGCAGCCTCAAAAGGTATTAAGAATATCTATATTTCATTGCACTAGATGAAATACAATATCAAACCAGGTGTCATCTGTGCTCAAATGATGCTAGAGCTTTTTTCTCTTATAATTTTTTATTATTCATTAAGTGTCCAAATACTTTTTGATGCCACTGTATACATTTGTAGATCACAGTTTTATTTAAGTAAACATATTTTAACCTTCACCAGTTCATTTACAAGCTTGTGCTTTAAAAGTACAAATATTTCATTATATATTTTAATCAATATGAGATGATTACATTTATCTATTGACATTTATTAATTTAGCAGATTATGCAACTAACAAATAATGGAAAATTGCATGTAATTTTATGGTAGGTACTAGATAAAATGCAGTAAACTAAAAAAAAAAAAACCCCAATAGAGCAAAATGAAAGAAAACACAGTAAATGTTTGAATCCATCACCACATGAACTGATCTCTGAAAAGTAAAGGTTATATAGACTTTAAAGTCCCCATGACCCGGAAGTTGCAAACGACTTTTCTCCAGTGTTGTGACGTATTTCCGAGAGAAACGTAATACTAAATGAGGCAAAATAGTGGGCGTGGCTTTTTTTCCAACTAGCACCTGATTGGATCTAGATAAATGGGAGTTTCATTCTGAAATGGAGGATGACGCTGTCAATCAATGCTCGCTCGGCGCTCGCAAACACACAGCAGCTGTCAGACGGAGGGGCGTGGTTATGGATGTTAAGGAGACACCCAAACCGTAAAGCCTACGTCATCGGGCAAGGTCCTCCAATGCAGAGGGGAGGGGCATTTTCAAACTTTGATTAAAGATTACGGAGCCAAAAATTTTTTTTGTGTGGATTGACTTGCATGTATGAATTGTTCACCACAAAACGATCAATTTAGGCAAACAAAGCAAGTATGGTCAATTTTGATTTCATGGGGACTTTAAATGGAGATGATGTTACGGCAAAGGGCTTGATTGAATCTTCATAAACCGTTACTCGACTCTCACTCTCTCACTTGGTGCAGATGAAGTTGTTTTTCTCAGTTTCAGGAAGGCTGATCCAGCGCTGGTCGCTGGTCTGAATGGCTCCGGATCTCACTGTCGTAGTGCAGTCCTCCTCCCCGGTGCCGTGACCCGGAGCCCAGTGATCATAGCACAGGGTCTGACCGTTGACCCAGAACCAGAGGCCGAGCACGCAGGAGTGACGGAGACCCAGCCACACGTGAGCGGTAGAGGCCGTCGAGGACACGTTCTCCACCCGAAGCTGGATCTCCAGCGAGTCCACCGACACCAGGTCCATGTCTTTATCTCTGCAGTATTTCAGAGCTTCTGTCCACGTCTGATTCTGTCTGATCAGAACCAGTTTATCTGGAGCACAAACATAAACAACAACGGCCACACTTTAGTTTAGGGTCCAATTCTCCATATTAACTATTTACTATGACGTTTTCCTAAATAAACTCCTAATTACTGCTTATTAAAGAGCTCCTATCATAGCATTTGAATTGTTCCTATTTTTGTTTTAGGAGTTCCCTACAACAGTTTATTGTGCATGCAAGGATAAAAAACACTTTATTTTTCTAATAATATGCATTTATTTTTAACTGATTTGCTCAACGACTCCCAAATGATTCGTTCGACGATTCATTTTCCCAAACACCTCCTTTGAGTGACGCGAATCTGCGGCGATTGGTCAAATGATCCAGTCAGTTGTTATTGGTAAACCGTAGGCAGAGACTGTCGGCAACGGATCGCCCATAACCAGGATTATAGCTTGTCAAGTGTTGAAAATTGTATATAGTGTTTGAACAAACGTGTCAGAAAAAGTGCACTTTCCACACGGTCCCTAACTCGCGTGTCCGTCAAGAGCGAGCTTTCCCCGCGACACTCACATTGCGGCAGCTTTTGAGGGACAGTGCTTATTATATAGAGCCAAGTCAGATTTGGCTAAGTCGTTCAATGAATCCTTTTTTATTGCCTATGTTTGAAGGGGTTGTAATCACACATTGCAATGATCCACTTTTCGGGTTTTGCTATTACCTCTGAAGGCCAATATTCAGATGTGACGTGCATGCGCGCTCCCGAGCCTCTCTATCCAGTCAACCATGTCTCTATGCAGTCAACCATGCGACCAACAGCACTTCATCTGACGACATGGAGTCTGATAACAGCCCAAAACGTCCTGCCTGCCTCCAGCACAACACAGACTCCAACACAAACTCCACATAAATATAAAAAACAAAAAAGTTTTATCTGCCGAAGCTCGTCAGGCAAAACGTGAATCTGATCGACTCCGGACAAAAACGCGGATCAACATAGTAAACTCTAGTCTAGTGAAATATCAAGGTAACCTACATGAAACATGACATGAATACAAAAGAGTGTTCCAGAATAACAAAAAGTCGGTGCTTTAGGATGTAACTTATTTTATTTACTAGATCTACTGACTAGGGTTGGGAATCGTGAGAAATTTTCCGGTTCCGATTCCGGTTCCGCCAAACGGTTCCGGTTCCCATTCAATTAAAATATTAGTAAGAGAAAAATCCACAATCCTTTTTGTGTTTATTTCTTATAGTACTTCACAAATTAGTTTAACAGACTGGTAATGTAAACAAACTCAAAATATTATTAAGCAATCTTTGCAAAAAAAAAAAATTATATATATATATATATATAGGGTATATATATAAAGGAAATTAAAAAATTCTGCATTCTCTATAATAATTTAGACCTCTCCTTTATTGTATCTCCAACAGTGAAGAATACCCTCTCAGAAGGAGTAGAATATGCTTTAACACACATATGTGTGTAGAACAGATTATTTTTTAAAACGGTTTGAATGATTGATTCATTAAGACTTTACGTATTTCATTACTGGATAAATCGGCGCTCTAGCAGTTAATAAACAGAAATGCGTCTTGCGGAAGAACATTGTTGCCGGAGCTACTTCTCTCTGTTTATGTCCATGACGAGTCACGCAGGCATTGGGCTACTCCGCAGCAGCTGCGATCCACCGGCCAGTCTAAAGAAGAAGTCCGAGTATTAACGCTTATTACAGGCTTTACGTAGTGATTCAAGATAAGACAAAAACACGGTTTGAAAAAAAAAAACATTATGATGCACTCGCTCAAACGTTGATGTATTGATTGATTGAAGTTTATTGCGAGCAAAAAAGAAAGAAAAGAATATAGACATATATATTAACAATGAAATAAAAACAACACAGTTTATTTTTAGTTTAAAGGAGCTAAACGCAAGTCTCTGAGTTTTTGCAGAACTACGCCCCCTCTGGCGACAAGCGAAACAGCAACCAGAGCTGTGCGCGTTCATGGAGGAACACACACACACGCACGTTTGCGCGAGCTGTTCATAACTAAGGAGCATCAGCCGCACACTGTGCGGCACACATCTTTTGTTACAGTCATAATGAGGTAATACAGTAATAAATCTGCAAGTCATTTAAAATATATGAAAGGAAAGGCATTCGAGTAAATTACACACTTATGTGTGTGAGAGGGGGAAACGGGGGTAGTAGAAAACTTCGGTTTTTGTTTCCATCTATCTCCCTGTGCTTACTGTATCCACTTATGATTGAATTATTATGGTACACGTTCAGTTATCACTTTGTATAGGACCCGTTTGAGCCCTAGAGCCGACCGGAGATCTCTCCGTTTGTTGAAAGCTTCCCGATGTTGACTCTCGTCTTATTCCGACGCATGGCACTGGACAGAGTGAAGTTTTATTTTCTTTGTCTCACGTGGAGTTTGCGTTGGGGTTTGTAATGAGCTACAAGCCGGTCTCTTTCCGCGCCATATACAGATTAAATGAAGTGCACGTCACCGAAAGCAACAGATATGAGCTGGATTTTATTAATCATCGGCTAATTTCAAAATCAGCAAAGACAGCAATAAGAGAGATCGGCAACAGGCCTGGTAAGATCAATTCATTTCTTTACTTTTAATGAAGATGGTAGTGTTAAGCGTCTGCGACTTACTTTCACTTTGATTTGCGATAGATTGCGGCGCGCTGGCTTGCTCAGCTCAGCTGCTCATCTGAGGTGATGCGCGTCGTCATATATGACTAAAATAACATGACATATAGCTTGGTTTCAACAACCAGATGCATTTACACTTGTCCAGTTTCGTCTTGAATGCGGCCCAGACCACGTCCTCAAGTGATTTGAGCGATCGGATTCATACGCGAATAACTAACGCGTTTCGGAGGGCATTTACACCCTGGTCTTTTCACGATGGAATAGCTACCCGATCACAGAAAACGCATGAAGTGACCAGGTGTAAACAGCCCCTTTGAATCCATCGTCTACTTTTGTGGAAAGCTGACTAGAGTTGTGTCGCTCGAGTTGTCTTCTCTGATACGGAGAACGGCGGCGAATAGCTACACGAACCTGCCAGACATAGCCAGGCGAGCGTGAACGCGCATGACGTCACGCCCAGTCTCAGATTCGAGCCCGAATCCCTCTTATATATTTCACTGTACAGGGTTATAGAGGCGATCTCAGTGATCAGAGAAGGGCTCATTCAGCTCATCAGGCGATTGTTTAAGCATGTATGGGTTAGAAAAAGGCTATTTTTAACATGAAATGTTGCGCAATGCACCTTTAATTCTTTTTTTACTTTCTTTATAAGTGTATTATAATTATCAGTACGAGGGTGCAAATGTTAAAAAATAGCGCTAATAGCGGGAGGGGGAAATCGGAAAAGCTACACTCCTGAAATTATGTATAATCTGACCAATCAAAGCCCTTGCTGTCTGCGTTGCCTCACAAATTTTTGGAGGTGCACGTCGAGCTACGGCGGAGCGGTCGGAGAGGGGTTCGCGTCGACGCGTAGGGGTCTGCGGGGGTACGCCATCGATTCAATGCAGAAGCATAAAACAGGCTTAACGCTTGTGTGCGTCACACGCTTGAACAAACCGATTCTTTTGCTTCATGTTGATGCCGACTCGTGTCCGCGGGTCGATCAGCGCGGTGTTCACATGTGGACATCTACCGCTAACACAGTTCTGACTGATCTGCCCAAAACAGCCCCATCTAACATTTACATCTAGTCTTTAATTCCTTCATGAAAATGTCAAGAGATTGTCGTCATAGTTTTTGTTATTCATGATTCAAAACTGTTTATTAATCGTCTAGTTTCCGTCTGAATTTTTATTTTTACACACAAATAAAAATTGATTAGTGTTGAGTTACTCACTAGTTATAGTGCACTCAATCTGTGATTTAGAGTTTGTGTTGTTTCACATGTAGAGTTGCATTTGTTCAGATGATTGTGTGAGAGGGAGCATCTTCTTACCGTCATAACACACAAAGGGATAAGGACCTGTACATTTATCATCTACCCATCGTCCTTGGTGGCAGAAATCAATGGAGGTGCAGACATGCTCTCTGTTCTCGTTGCTGTTGGCTTCAAATTGGTAGTTGGGTTCATCAGTGTGCCAGTGTGTGAATGTGGAGGTGCTGTTATTATCTGACCAAACCCAGAGTCTGCTCAGACCGATCCAGGCTTTATCAGGTGAAATTGGGTTGTTTTGTATGAATGTCTGAATCTTATCATTCTCAGTCTGGTTCCTCACACTGGCCAGATCTGTGTAATTGTGTCTACAGTAACTCTGAGCTTCAGTCCAATTCTTTTGCACACTCACAGGGACGAATGGTTCACTGGTGGCTTCTGCTAAATGTAAAATGTAAATGTAAAAGAGAAAGACATTTGTCTAATGAAGTGAAATATAATGAAATAAGAAAATATTTATGGACGAAGAAACAAGAACATTAGGACAAAAAAGACAAATCCACTAAATGCAATTGTGGGTTCATCATTCAAAACTAAAAGTGTTTTTTAAAATTATTATTATTGTACATGAATATAGTCAATATGGTCTTTAATAAAGCACACATCTGTGTGTTGTGATCTTACAGCTGAACTCACCATTATAGCAGATGAACGGCCTATTGGGACTACATTTTTCATCATGCCATTGTCCATCAGCTTTCATCATAAAAACACAGTCTCCATCTCCTTGTGGTTGTTGTGATGCCCAGTTCCTGTACTGGGACTCGTTTGCTGTGTAGAAGGTGGGGTCATTCAGAGACCATATCCATGTGCTCCTCAGCCCGATCCAGACTTTAACAGCTTTAGGGTCCACACTCTTTATGACCCGCTCTGCGTCGGTCTGATCTTGTGTGTTGGTTATTGTGGCCAGATCTGTGTATTTCTCTCTGCAGTGTTGCTGAGCTTCAGTCCAACTCTTTCCCTCATTCACAAAGTGATACTGACGCAAAGCGCCTGCAGACAAACTGACCACGGCTGAGGAGAGACACATTCAGATCTCAAACGATGATCTCACTGATCGATGACACACATTATCTTTATCATAACGGGCCAATATTTGCCACCTATAATTGATTACTGGGACACTTTTTACCATTACAATTTTTGAATGAAGAAATATGAAATTAAAGTATACTTTTAAATATGAAACTGAAGCCGGCAGTGAAGTGTTAATGAGTGAGTGAGTGAGTCGTTCAACCAATGTGTTCAACCGGCTGATTCATTCAGGAGCAAAGTTAGCAAATAATGGGTAATTTTTGCGAACTAGTCTTAGATTTTCACTAATGATTGTCCTGTAATTGTCAATAATTATAAAATAAAAGTTGAAATTTCGAATCGCTGAAGTGGGAGGAGCCGCTTTTTCTAAAATGGCTATAACTCATGAATGGAATGAGATATATTCACATATGTAAGAGCTCATCCTACAGTTCACGCAGCGACTGGCCACCTGGTGGCTCTATAACATGGAGAGTAAAGTCTGATTGACTTGAACATTGGCATGCAATCTCTTCCTCCAAGGTGCCAAGACTGGGTTTGAGGACATTCATGTACCTTGAAAAACTCGGCCGGCGACTACCAATGAAAGTTGAGCAGCTGACAGATCAGGTTAATGCCCACGACATGTATAACGAATGATAGATCTCCTCATTCTGAGCAACTTTGCCTCTAGAACCGCAGCTGTCAGTCGAACCATTCGTTAAATTTTGAGGATTATTTCAAAAAACAACTTTGGCGAACTAATCCTGGGTTTTTGGCTCAACTCGATTAAACCCCTGCAGCACAATTCTCGGCACTCGTTGTCTATAATTGTCCAAATATTTTTTTAAAAGCTGATCTTTGGCCTTTGGACAGCCATAGCTGGGTCATTTAGAAAAGTCGCATGACCTAGTCCAAACCAAAGCCTATCTTTCCTAGACGAAAACTCGTAACTTCCTATCATTTGGTGAACATAAGATAAGAAGCATGCTAACTTTTATGGACATTGGGCCATAGCTGGCGCTTTAAGTGTTGTAAAGGTGAAAAACTTAATATATTTCCTATGCAAAATGACATTTAAATGACTGAAAAATTACACAAAAAAACCCAAAATATAATTTACAGTCAAATAATAATTTACAGTATTATTTTTTATTTCTTCAGGTCTTAAAAAGTCTTACAAACCCATACATTTTACTGAAAACACGTGTAGCAGCCCTGGGTGCACAAGGGTAGCTTTATTGTTTGGAACTATTTTCACTGGCAAAATAGAGCAAAAAATAATATAACTGTTTATTTAACTAATGAATAAAATCAGCATCACATTTGCAATCGATTTTCTGATATTCTGTTTTGCTGTTGTGATGTTTCTCACTATGAATATTAAAAACAAGAACTCAATCAGGGGCATTTTTGCGACAGTATCTACTAATTTTTGTGGTATTTTTATATTTTGGTGTTTTTGCCCCAAACTCCTCTTAATTTCTGCCCCGCTTCAGACGATCCAGATGTAGGCCTAATATTTTCATTTAATTTACATGCATAGAAACATCAGCAGTTTGACCCGTTTCACAAACATAATGACAAAAACCACAATGTTCAATCAAGTGTCCGTCACACTTTCACGCTCTGTTGCCTGAAGGCATGAAATCCAGGTGCATTCTGGGAGTTTTTCATTAGGATTGTACTCATGGGCTTCGATCGAGTCACTCGCCTAAATATTTCAGTCTTCCTCAGTAATTTTCAGTCGCAAATGTTCTGTGTGCAAAATGACTGTGTAAGTGAAGTTGTGCGTCTGATCTCCTCAATAACACATGATTTGAGGAATGGTTGGTGTGTGAAGCACGACCTTTGACACTCGGCTTGAGCTCTTTCAGCACAGCACGAACACTACGAGCGCTGCATTAAACACTCGCTCACCTGTGAGCAGAAGAGACGTCAGTGTGATTCTCTCCATTCCTGAGGGAAAGACAGAACACAGTCTCAGTAAACAAGCTTCATTTGCTTTCTAATACAGCAGCTGGAGTTCGTACACAATCCAGAACTTCAGAGCGTGTCGTTCCTACTTGATCATCGCTTATTAGCTCTCGCATCACTTATAAACACACACACATGAAGCTCCTGTCAGTGCAGTGTTCACACACACTTTTTCAGGATAAAACTCTTTCTCATAGAAATTGAGATCTGGAATTACAGTGCTGTTATACAGTGGATTACTGTAAACACAATTTTTATTGTAATATTTACTTTTAAATTTTGCTCTTTTATACTTTTTATTTGATTTTTTTCTTAGTGTGTAAAACATTAAAAAATCTAAAGAACTTTTTCCCATTATTAAGAATCTTTTGTGCAATGTAAAAGATTATATGATGTTAAAGGTGCTTCATGGAACCATCAATGTCAATAAAGAAGCTTTAGTTTTGAGTAGATAATACAACCGAGCATAATTTAATACAAAACACAGCTAAATCAATCCTATTATAATCAGTGTAAAGTTAAAACTGTCTTAAACTCTGTTTCTTACCTGTCGATGTTGTGATTTCTGTGCGATTGTGTGTGTGTTTCTCTGTCAGGACAGACTTATATCATGATCATCTCCTTCTGCTCCTCCCAGCTCTAGTTTTCCTGGAGAGAAAAACTCCCGTCTGTGGTTTATTTGTTTCCTCTCTTGCCCTAAGGTGATGTACTGACCGAAAGTGTGTGTTGTCCATTTATTGTTGTGTGTGTGTGTGTGTATACTATTGGTAAAAACATTTTTATTTCATGTACTGGTTAATTTTCATCAAGTATTCATTCAGACTAGTGGGGAAATCATCCAAAGTACACATTTAAGAGTTTATTTTATTGTGTTTTTGTGTCAATTTGAGCTTTTTCTCCACTTCAGCGGCTTTACAGACAACAAACTTTACCGTTTTATTCACAAGTATATTTTGAAGGTTTGTTCATATATTTAATTGATCTGGTTGATATATATTTATTTTTTTTCCCCCTAAAAACATGGTGATTTACTTTTTTTTCTGTTTACAGGGTTTTTTGACAGTGATTTATGGACCAATACAAAGAGAGATCCAAAATCACCTCTGGAAAAACTCTGGAAAGACTTCCATATTTAAAGAGATTTCAATATCAACTCAATTTCTCATCAGGTTGATTAGTGGATTGACTCTCAGAAGAAACATGAAGTTCTTCAATGAGACATGAAGAAGAATCTGCTGAGGTATGAAAGGGCACAGGTATATTTTATTTTCAGTCAAGTCACCTTTATTTATATAAAGCGCTTTAAACAATACACATACAGTACAATATGTGTCAAGGTAGAGTGACAGTGATAACAGGAAAATGATGCACTGATGCAAACAGAGTTTATTTCTGCTCTAAAAGAAAACATTCATCATTGAGTCAGTGTCACATTTGACTTTGGATTCCCTTTTCATTTGGATATGTTCTTTATTTGTTTGATGCAGATAATAATCATGAGTGTCCCATTGTACTTCAGGGATGAATATTCACATGCGCTTCAGATTAAATCTTCAGGACATTATTTGAATGTGTGCCGTTGATCCTCAAGATGGTAATGATTTGGAAAAAAACACAATCTTGTGAATGTTGTGTCTCTTTATTACTGACAAATGATGAATTTATTTCAATTCAGTTATACAGCAGAAATTGTCATATCTGTTACAGAGACTCGGATAGGATGATAAAATTGAACCCAAAACGGTTTATTGAACAACGCTGTGGTGACATGGTGGCGTTGAGTCTTAAACTGAAGAGTAATAGTGTAAACTGAAGAGTAATGGTGTAAACTGAAGAGTAATGGTGTAAACTGAAGAGTAATAGTGTAAAGAGAAAGTCTTTGGGTTGAAGATGGAGAATATTGGAGACTGGAGAACGAAGGGGATAATAAACAACTGCTTTATTTGCATCACTGTTGCCATGATGTCACAATAAACTTCAGTTGAAGTGAAGAGTGTATTTGTGCAGCTTGTCAAACATGCAAATATGAGACAGCAGCACTTTACAGTCAGACCAGGTGAAGGTCTGTGAAAGTGATTCTGTGATGCACCACAATACGCTGTTCACCTGCAGAACACGAGCTTCTGGAGACACATCGGTCTGGAGTAATGAGTTTAGGTGTAGGAGAGCAGAGCCAGTGGTTGTTCTGTAGGAAAACATCAATACCTTGAATTTGATGCAAGTGGCTGTTGGAAACCAGTGCAAGTTTATGAGGAGATGAGGCTCGATACACACACTCTTGCCGCAGCATCTGGATCAGTTGTAGAGGTGTAACAGTGATGCTGGAAGGAGAGAGCATTACAACAGTCCAGTGTGGATAAAGCAAGAGCTTGGACAAGGAGTTGTGTAGCTCCGATAGGAAGGGCCTGATCCTCCTAATGTTGAATAAGACAAATCTGCAGGACCGGCAGCTCTAGCAATGTGTTCTGTGGCCTTCCATGACAGATGGAGAAGAGAAGCGGTCGCAGCACTGAGCCCTGAGGCACTCCAGTAGCTACACTGCAAATAAATGTTGGTCTCCTCGAAACCCTGAAGGACCTACTGAGAGGTAAGACTTGAACCATTGGAGTACGGTTCCTGAGATTGAGTTATTTATGAACATTTATAAGAGGATCAGGTCCAGATGCCCTTCGTCAAGAGGATTGACAGGAGGATCTGATGGTTAATTGGGATGGTGATGGTGGGACGATGAGACCCAGGTGGTATTGGTGGAGGCAGTCTGATGACGTAGACCCAGAGCCGACAGGCCAGGGCGAAGTAGAGGGAGCAGCCATGGGGGTGTGAACCGATGGAGACGAGGCTGATGGATCCACGGGTGCACAGCGACATCGCTGGTACTGGAGACCAAAGTGATGCATGGTAAGGATCGTTGAAGCCAGATTACCAGAGGCCTGAGGTGGAGCCGGTGTGATGGAGGGAAGGAGTGCCGTGGACGGCCCACAAGTCCGAGGGTCTCCGGTGGAGCCTAAGGAGAAAGGAGCCAAGACAGGGCCGAGCTGGAACGAAGAGGTATCTTCAGGGTCTCGTTGTGGATGAGTTTGGAGATCAGAGATCATCCGTCCATACAGAATCCCTCCACATCCTTCATTCGTCCATACAGAACCTCTCACGATCCTTCAGATTCACAGCTCTATGTTAGAGCTTCTTCTCTTCAGTTCAACCCACTCATTTTCTATTGGGTTATAAGATTTCTAGCAGAGACTGTCAGGTTTTGATTTTTTTACCTGTTGGTATTTACTAGAATCCATGATACCTTTTATCCGAACAAGATGTCCAGGACCTCCAGCTAAAAAATAGGCCCACAACATTAAAGATCCAGCGGTATATTTAACTGTAGGCATGGGCTACTTTTTATCCCTGTTATCATGTGTTTATCTCTGAAATCATGCATCTTTGCTTAAAAACCCAAAGAACACTCAGTTTTATACGTCAGAATAAATGTTAAGCATGCGACAAAATAGATCAGATTCACACAAGATGACAGTCAGATAAACGACATCAATAACAAATGAAATTTCTTCCAAAGCTTTATTTTCTCAGAAAGAAATGAGTACGAATCACAAACCGCCACCAATCCAGTACAGGAATCCAGCAAAGGAGAAAACCACTGACATTCAAAATGTATGTAAATACAGACTAGGGCTGGGTATCGATATACATTTCACAATTTGATTTAATCTCTATGTTGATTACAAAATATCAGGTTTGGTACATTATTAACAAAGGAAAACAAATCTCTTCTTCGCTACAAAACACTTTTAGTGAAGTTTTGTTCACGTATCAACTAAAAACAGCAGAGATCGGGGATTCATGAATCAATATTGGTTCATCAAAATGAGAATTGATTAAAATCAAGAAATTCATATTTTCAACCCAGCCCTAATGAGAGTTATTTGGGTAATTATATACCCCAAATTAACGGGTACATGGAAGTGAAGTACAGCAGCCTCAAAAGGTATTAAGACACTTGAGAATATCTATATTTCATTGCACTAGATGAAATACAATATCAAACCAGGTGTCATCTGTGCTCAAAGTGTCCAAATACTTTTTGATGCCACTGTATACATTTGTAGATCACAGCTTTATTTAAGTAAACCTATTTTAACCTTCTCCAGTTCATTTACAAGCTTGTGCTTTAAAAAGTACAAATATTCCATTATATATTTTAATCAATATGAGATGATTACATTTATCTATTGACATTTATTAATTTAGCAGATTATTTTATCCGAAGCAACTAACAAATAATGGAAAATTGCATGTAATTTTGCATTACTAGATAATATGCACTAAACTAAAAAAAAAAAACAATAGAGCAAAATGAAAGAAAACACAGTAAATGTTTGAATCCGTCACCACATGAACTGATCTCTGAAAAGTGAAGGTTATATAGACTTTAAATGGAGATGATGTTACGGCAAAGGGCTTGATTGAATCTTCATAAACCGTGACTCGACTCTCACTCTCTCACTTGGTGCAGATGAAGTTGTTTTTCTCAGTTTCAGGAAGGCTGATCCAGCGCTGGTCGCTGGTCTGAATGGCTCCGGATCTCACTGTCGTAGTGCAGTCCTCCTCCCCGGTGCCGTGACCCGGAGCCCAGTGATTATAGCACAGGGTCTGACCGTTGACCCAGAACCAGAGGCCGAGCACGCAGGAGTGACGGAGACCCAGCCACACGTGAGCGGTAGAGGCCGTCGAGGACACGTTCTCCAACCCAAGCTGGATCTCCAGCGAGTCCACCGACACCAGGTCCATGTCTTTCTCTCTGCAGTATTTCAGAGCTTCTGTCCACGTCAGATTCTGTCTGATCAGAACCAGTTTATCTGGAGCACAAACATAAACAGCAACGGTCACACTTTAGTTTAGGGTCCAATTCTCAATATTAACTATTAATCACGACTTTTGCTTCAATAAACTCCTAATTTTTGCTTATTAATAGTTAGTAAGGTAATTGTTAAGTTTAGGATTTGGGTGGATCGAGTGATGCAGAATATGATCATTAATGTGTATTAATTATGCATTAATGTGTGCTGATAAACAGCCGATATCCTAGTAAAATGCATGTTAATCAGCAGCTAGTTAATGCTGAGAACTGGACCCTACACTGAAGTGTTTCCACAAAAACATTAAACATATTTAGTTCAACAATTCTTCTCCAAAAAAATGTAATTCTGTCATCATTTACTCGCACTCGTGTCGTTCCAAACCCCTGCACATTAAGGTATTTTAATGAATCCTGAGATATTTCTGTCCCTCCATTGGAAATTCAGGTGAAAGCTTAAATGATCCAGAACGGTCATTATAGCGTCATAAAACTAATCCATATAAACCGAGCGGTTTAATCCAGATTCAGATTATTCAAATCTAAAAATGATTGTCCCAAATATTGCAGATCACATTAAGTGAACACTAACGCTTGTGTGGGTCACACGCTTGAACAAACCGATTCTTTTGCTTCATGTTGATGCCGACTCGTGTCCGCCGGGTCGATCAGCGCGGTGTTCACATGTGGACATCTACCGCTATCACAGTTCTGACTGATCTGCCCAAAACAGCCCCATCTAACATTTACATCTAGTCTTTATTCGTTCATGAAAATGTCAAGAGATTGTCGTCATAGTTTTTGTTATTCATCATTCAAAAGTGTTTTTAGTTATCGTCTAGTTTCCGTCTGAATTTCTTTTTTACACAAATTAACATTGATTAGTGTTGAGTTATAGTGCACTCAATCTGTGATTTAGAGTTTGTGTTGTTTCACATGTAGAGTTGCATTTGTTCAGATGATTGTGTGTGTGTGTGTGGTGTGTGTGTGTGTGTGTGTGTGTGTGTGTGTGAGAGAGAGCATCTACTCACCATCATAACACACAAAGGGACAACGAGCTGTACAAGGATCATCTACCCATCGTCCTTGGTGTTGGTTGATATCAATCGCGGTGCAGACGTCCTCTCTGTTCTCGTTGATGTTGGGTTCATCAGTGTACCAGTGTTTGAATGTGGAGGTGCTGTTATCTGACCAAACCCAGAGTCTGCTCAGACCGATCCAGGCTCCATCAGGTGAAATTAGGTTGTTTTGTACGAATGTCTGAATCTTAATATTCTCAGTCTGGTTCCTCACACTGGCCAGATCTGTGTGATTGTGTCTACAGTAACTCTGAGCTTCAGTCCAATTCTTTTGCACATTTACAGGGACGAATGTTTCAGTGCTGGCTTTAAAAGAGAAAGACATTTGTCTAATGAAGTGAAATATCAGAGAAATTAAATGCATAAAACACAAGAAAATATAAGGACAAAGAAACAAAAACATAAGGACAAAAAGACAAATCCACTAAATGCAATTGTGGTTTATCATTCAAAACTAAAAGTGTTTTATTATTATTGTACATGAAAATAATCAACATGGTCTTTAAAGGGATACTCCACCCAAAAATGAAAATTCAGTCATCATTTACTCGCCCTCAGGTTGTTGCAAACCTGTATGAGTTTCTTTCTTCTGATGAACACAAAGGAAGATATTCTGAAGAACGATTGGAACCAAACAGTTGTTCGGCACCATTGACTTCCATAGTAGAAAAACAAATACTATGTCAATGACTATGAAGTCAATGGTGCCAAAGTTCCAATCTTTCTTCAGAATATCTTCCTTTGTGTTCATCAGAAGAAAGAAACTCATACAGGTTTGTAATAACTTGAGGGGGAGTAAACAGACAGAATCTTCATTTTTGGGTGGAGTATCCCTTTAATAAAGCACACATCTGTGTGTTGTGATCTTACAGCTGAACTCACCATTATAGCAGATGAACGGCCTATTGGAACTACAGGCTTCATCATGCCATTGTCCATCATCCTTCTTCATAAAAACACAGTCTCCATCTCCTTGTGGTTGTGCTGGGTGTGAAGTTGTTGCTGGTGCCCAGTTCCTGTACTGGGACTCGTTTGCTGTGTAGAAGGTGGGGTCATTCAGAGACCATATCCATGTGTTTGTGCTCCTCAGCCCGATCCAGACACGTTCAGCGTTAATGTTCACACTCTCTATGACCCGCTCTGCGTCGCTCTGATCTTGTGTGTCGGTGATTGTGGCCAGATCTGTGTATTTCTCTCTGCAGTGTTGCTGAGCTTCAGTCCAACTCTTGCTCTCATTCACAAAGTGATACTGACGCAAAGCGCCTGCAGACAAACTGACCACGGCTGAGGAGAGACACATTCAGATCTCAAACGATGATCTCACTGATCGATGACACACATTATCTTTATCATAACGGGCCAATATTAATCTTTATCATTACGGGCCAATATTAATCTTTATCATTACGGGCCAATATTAATCTTTATCATTACGGGCCAATATTAATCTTTATCATTACGGGCCAATATTAATCTTTATCATTACGGGCCAATATTAATCTTTATCATTACGGGCCAATATTTGGCACCTATAGTTGATTACTGGGAGACTTTTTACCTTTACAATTTTTTAATGAAGAAATATGAAATGAAATTATACTTTTAAATATGAAACTAAAGCTGGCAGTAAAGTGTTAATGAGTGAGTGAGTCATAGATTTTCACTAATGATTGTCCTGTAATTGTCAATAATTATTAATTTCTCTTCATTTCTGCCCCGCTTCAGACGATCCAGATGTAGGCCTAATATTTTCATTTAATTTACATGCATAGAAACATCAGCAGTTTGACCCGTTTCACAAACATAATGACAAAAAACACAATGTTCAATCAAGTGTCCGTCACACTTTCACGCTCTGTTGCCTGAAGGCATGAAATCCAGGTGCATTCTGGGAGTTTTTCATTAGGATTGTACTCATGAGCTTCGAACGAGTCACTGTGTAAGACTGTGTAAGTGAAGTTGTGCGTCTGATCTCCTCAATAACACATGATTTGAGGAATGGTTGGTGTGTGAAGCACGACCTTTGACACTCGGCTTGAGCTCTTTCAGCACAGCACGAACACTACGAGCGCTGCATTAAACACTCACTCACCTGTGAGCAGAAGAGACGTCAGTGTGATTCTCTCCATTCCTGAGGGAAAGACAGAACACAGTCTCAGTAAACAAGCTTCATTTGCTTTCTAATACAGCAGCTGGAGTTCGTACACAATCCAGAACTTCAGAGCGTGTCGTTCCTACTTGATCATCGCTTATTAGCTCTCGCATCACTTATAAACACACACACATGAAGCTGATGCGTGTCAGTGCAGTGTTCACACACACTTTTATGCTTTAAACCCTTCAGGATTAAACTCTTTCTCATAGAAATTGAGATCTGGAATTACAGTGCTGTTATACAGTGTTTTACTGTAAACACAATTTTTATTGTAATATTTACTTTTAAATGTTGCTCTTGTACATTTTTTTGGTTCCTCAAAGAGCCTTTCATTCATCAGTTCATTCACCATGTTTTCTTAGTGTGTAAAACATTTCAAAATCTAAAGAACTTTTTCCCACTATAAATAATCTTTTGTGCAATGTAAACGATTATATGGATGTCAATAAAGAAGCTTTAGTTTTGAGTAGATAATATAACCGAGCATAATTTAATACAAAACACAGCTAAATCAATCCTATTATAATCAGTGTAAAGTTAAAACTGTCTTAATCTCTCTTTCTTACCTGTCGATGTTGTGATTTCTGTGCGATTGTGTTTGTGTTTTTCTGTCAGGACAGACTTATATCATGATCATCTCCTTCTGCTCCTCCCAGCTCTAGTTTTCCTGGAGAGAAAAACTCCCGTCTGTGGTTTATTTGTATATATTTTTTGTTTTGGATTTTTCTTTGTTTTGTTTTTTTTTACTTCCTTCTCTTGTCCTCTTTCAACCGAACGGAAAGAAAACCTTCAAATTACACATTAGGTGTTTATTTTATTGCACTTTATTTATATGTGCATGAAGATTTCAAATACAATCCATGTCTCTAAAGGCGACACGTTTTTTCTCCACTTCAGCAAACTTTTCAGTTTTATTCATATCTATATTCTGACGGTTTGTTCATATATCATTCACCTGATTTATAGAACATTTTATTCCTAAAAACATGATAAAAATTATTTTTTGTCTATGTTGATTGCAATTTCTGATTTATGGAGAGATAATAATAATAATTCTCTCTGTAAAAACCTGTAAAATAGAAAAACAAACAAGAATTATGAATATGTCTATATCTAATGTTTACACTTCTATTATGGAAAAGTATGTAAATTAGTGCATATTTAATTAGATAATGCATAATTTGCATACTTTTGTCAAAACTAAATAAACAAAAGCTCCTAAATCAATCAGCTTTATAAGTATGGTGTAAATTTTAATCCAGACAAAACCTCCAATTGTGGTTCAGAAACTGAAGCAGTGACAAGTAAGGTCACACACACACACACACACTCAGAGCTCTCTCTCTCTCTCTCACATACACAAACACACTTTCTTTCTCTCTCTCAGTCCAGTCATTTTAAGGCAAAATGGAGGTCAACATAGACCAAATTGCAACAGAAGCAAACTCAACTGATCTTGCATCCTCCATATGTCCTGAGTAAGGATAACGAAGCCCCGAAGAATCCCATCAGGGGAAAGATTAGAAAAATACCCAAATATAGTCCATTCATATGCATATTCAATGTTTCTCATGTGAACGGGGTAAACATTTACATATCATCATCTAATTACATATGTGCTAATTTGCATAAATAACTATTTCAAAAAAACCTGTTGATGGGGTGAGGAGAAGATCGTCCATTTTGTTTGGAAGGGATTGGAGATTCGCAAGATGAATGCTGGGGTACAAAATCAGTTGAGTTTGCTTCTGTTGCAGTTTGTTCAACCTTTTTTCATAAAATGACTGGCATTTTACCATCGAAACAGGGAGATTTGTACAATATTTGGGACAGTCGTGGCCTAATGGCTGGAGAGCGACTGGGAAGTGAAAGTCACGGGTTTGATGCTCAATACCGGTAAGAGAAGGACAGGTGCCCAAGACACCAAACCCTTAATCACTCCCTGTGTGTGTGTGTGTGTAAAAGAGAGAAAGTGTGTGTGGTATCTCCTAAACAACATTGAGATGAAATAGAGAGTAGATCCCAGAAGTCAAATCCCAGTATGAACTCCAGACTGTTACTGGATTGAGTCTCAGAAGAAACATCTGAGATAAAGCTGATACTTCCATGATATGAAAGAGAATCTGTGGAGGTATGAACGAGCACAAGTATAGTTTTGGTTGATTTTTATAATGAATACTGATGATATTAATCTCGTACTCCTGTCATCATTATCACCATATGTATCAGTGTCACATTTAAAATTTCCCCCTTTTAATTTACATTTTTGTCATCTTTTAGATGCGGACAGTAGTGTCTCAGTTTCGCTTCAGATTAAATCTTCAGGACAGAATTTGAATGTGCCGTTGATCCTAAAGATGGTTGTGATACTGGAAAACACGATTTATTCAGGAAACCAGGTAATATGCAAATTAATGTGATTGTTGTCTCTTTTACTGGTGTTTTTTTCTGGCTAAAAAGCAAAACTCTGTTAAAAACCAAAAAAATCTTAAACTTATATTTCAGCTAGTTGCCTAGGCAACATTTCTGCTTTCAAAAACACAGCAAAATGACTGAAACTATAATAAAATAAAAACCATTTCTGAATATTGATCAAAATAATAGTAGTTTAATTAACACTGAAAGCTACATCAGTGACTTCTTTAAGTTGTCAGTGATCTTGGTGAAAGAGGGATTAACAATAATGATGGGGAAGAGAGAGTGAGCCAATCAGCAGTAGGGGGCGTGTCCAATCATGATGGGGAGGAGAGAGTGAGCCAATCAGCAGTAGGGGGCGTGTCCAATCATGATGGGGAGGAGAGAGAGTGAGCCAATCAGCAGTAGGGGGTGTGTCCAATCATGATGGGGAGGAGAGAGAGTGAGCCAGTCAGCAGTAGGGGGTGTGTCCAATCATGACGGGGAGGAGAGAGAGTGAGCCAGTCAGCAGTAGGGGGTGTGTCCAATCATGACGGGGAGGAGAGAGAGTGAGCCAGTCAGCAGTAGGGGGTGTGTCCAATCATGATGGCGAGGAGAGAGAGTGAGCCAGTCAGCAGTAGGGGGTGTGTCCAATCATGATGGGGAGGAGAGAGAGTGAGCCAATCAGCAGTAGGGGGTGTGTCCAATCATGACGGGGAGGAGAGAGAGTGAGCCAGTCAGCAGTAGGGGGCGTGTCCAATCATGATGGGGAGGAGAGAGAGTGAGCCAGTCAGCAGTAGGGGGTGTGTCCAATCATGATGGGGAGGAGAGAGAGTGAGCCAATCAGCAGTAGGGGGTGTGTCCAATCATGACGGGGAGGAGAGAGAGTGAGCCAGTCAGCAGTAGGGGGTGTGTCCAATCATGATGGGGAGGAGAGTGAGCCAATCAGCAGTAGGGGGTGTGTCCAATCATGATGGGGAGGAGAGAGAGTGAGCCAGTTAGCAGTAGGGGGTGTGTCCAATCATGATCGGGAGGAGAGAGAGTGAGCCAGTCAGCAGTAGGGGGCGTGTCCAATCATGATCGGGAGGAGAGAGAGTGAGCCAGTCAGCAGTAGGGGGCGTGTCCAATCATGATGGGGAGGAGAGAGAGTGAGCCAGTCAGCAGTAGGGGGTGTGTCCAATCATGATGGGGAGGAGAGAGAGTGAGCCAATCAGCAGTAAGGGGTGTGTCCAATCATGATGGGGAGGAGAGTGAGCCAATCAGCAGTAGGGGGCGTGTCCACTGTAACGAATTACAGTTTATATACAATTTACAAGGAGGAAATGAAAGAGCAAGAGGGAGATTTGAAGAAAGACTGTAGAAAGAGAGATGGCTGAGAGACATTACAATAGAGTTTCTGCTCTATATGTGAGGAACGTTGGTTTCGTAACAACTTATGTACTGTGTTCAGTTTTTGTTCTTCCTTGTCTTCTTTCGTCATCTTTGCTTGATTTTTCCTGAAGCATGGCTTTATCTGTGAGAGGGAGACCTCCACTCTTGCATTTGGGGGTGGGGCAATAAAGGGAGGGGCGTGTTTGTTTGTTTGGATTGGTTTAAAATGTCAACAGTGTCTCTCATCGCTTACTGCGCCTTTACTGGAAGTACTGATACTGAAAATAGTACTGTACATTTCTGCAACGCATTTTTTTTTTCAAATAATGTTTAAAAAATAATAAGTTGTAAAAGGTGTTAATACTTGTTTTTTTACTTTATTTAATTTTTTTTTTCATTTTATTCTATTTTTGTTATTACTATTATTTTTATTTATCTCTCAAGGGTGACTAGGAACACGCTATTGTCTAAATATGAATATGAGGAAACCAGCATCTACATTGCCACATGTTGTTTTGGAGAGTTTCAAGAAAAAATCCAATTAACAAATCATATTTATTTGCACAGGCTTCTTTGTTCATATTTACCAAGGGTGCCAATAACTCTGACCAGAACTGTAAATTACTATTTGTATTCATTCTTTGGCAAATCATGTAAAATGCATTAAAAATGGCAGGACTGACAGTTTACTGATGCTGGGTGTGACGAGCAGAGCTGTTATCAGTCTCACACACACTCACACACACTCGAGACTGTTTACACATCTGCTTTAATATTGAAACATGTACTGTTTGTATCATTTATGCCATGATTGTTGTCCATTACTCTGCTTTAGAGGCTTTAGCTTGTACTAATATAAATATATGAGTGTATTGTTTTTACTTAAGTATGTGTGTGTGTGTGTGTGTGTGTGTGTGTGTGTGTTCATTTGTGTGGTGTGCGCATGTGGAAGAGCTCCTGTCAAACTCACAGACACACGGAATATTCACTCACCTCCATTTTTAATGGAATTAAGGTAATATAATAAATCATCTCATAATTCGGTTGATTTTTATTACAGTTATGTTTATATCAGTTAAAGTGCTGTGACTCAAGCAATCTTAAGGAACATTTCATTAGCACATGAATGTAAGCTTATTTTCTTACCTTAGTTGTTAATATATATTATACTGATGTATGTATCATAGTTTTCATGAGGGACTCGTATTACATATGCGTTATTATCTTCATGACACAGCTGTTTACTTGCGCTTGTCTGCTTGATTATAGTTTGATTTCTCAGTTTAATTCTGAAATGTGTCGCAGTAACTAAATGTACTCCATAAGAATGATTTCTACTGTTATTGTTTATTTATGTCTGATTCATTCCACTGAGAGCAGCTTATGTTTAAAATATAATATCATATTTATGAACGTTGTTATATTGAGAAATTGTGGGTTGTCATGTATGATGGTGAATTATTTCTGATGTATGACTTTCTCATTATTAGTTTAATTAAATTCACCCTATATTTTCTATAATGTATAATTTCCACACAGACAGGTGCGGATGTGCCTTTATTGTCCTGGTTATTCATGTGTAAATATTTGCTGTGTGCAGAAAACTGATATGGATTTTGTTCCGTAATAAACTGTGATGTCATCTCGTATAGATCACATGACGTCAGCACATGGATGTATTAATGAATATCTGATTTAATCTCTCGATTTCTTAAAGGTGTTTGTTAAGAGATGGGTTCATTATAC